CCAGATAGTCGTAGAATTTCAAGTTTTAAATGATTTGTTAGATGACTTCACCGTGTTGCTATCTATGTTTTGTCCGGATATGCTCCGATATGTGCGCTATATACAGCACTGACGCCATTATCTTGAGTGGAATTAGGTAACGTTCTGGACTGGGTACTCACTCAAATCACTATGTCTCGTAAAAAATTACGAGCAAGATAAGTCCCGCTGTACAGTGGACTCCTAGCACAAAAAACCAAATATTTAAATACCATACTCATATTAACTATGCAGACTAGGTCAGGGGAGACAAAACTATTACGGGGAATAACAACGCTAAAAACCTTGCAATGCATGGGCAATAATATGTAAAACATTAGACACCTACACATATGTGTATATCTAAATTGTACGCATCAATTAAACATATACAATCTTTGACAGCGGTGAAGCTGTACGCCGACTGGGGCCCAGTTTGTTTGGATGCTATTCAGGGTTGGCTGAAATTTTCGCTGGGAAAGACAATACATTGCAGGAATTTTGTATCGCAAGGTATTTCTCTCTCTCTCTCTCTCTCTCTTTCAGGGCCAAAAGGGCTGCAATATTCGTAGCTTTAAGGCTCTCATGACGTTAGTCAGTAAGTGCCCAGCGTCGGACAAAATAACGATGCTGAGTAATGGGTACCTTCGACTGAAGACAATCGTGGATGCCTGCTTGGGTAACTTAGCTGATTCCGTGCGTAGTATATGGAAAATACCGTGTGAATACAATATGCTTAGGTTCGAGCCTAGGTTTTTTAAAGAGTGTTTCGCATAGTTTACTTGATCGCTTGCTCACCGAGCTACGCCGAGTTCTGATGGCTTCTTTATTCTCTCTGACTGAACCATTTCTCTTGTCTATACTTTAATTTATACTGTAATAGGATGTAATGGGAGAGAACTTTTCACTGGAATTTCACAACGCAGCCTAAAAAAATGTTTGCCTTGAAAAAATGTTTGTGGAGAAATAGACAGAAAAACGCGCTTACAGAAATACGGGTACCTCTTGAACCATCATAACTGATTCCTTCGTATCACTTCAGCAACAATAATAACTCGCATTCGGAGCAAAATCCAACCTTCCACCTTGTTTGGATCATGGAAGGCTTTTCAGTTGGTCTAGTGCGTTTTGAACAAATATGCCACATAGTACGAGACAATCGTATGTGCATGGGGTGAACCCATGTGTGTGCGCTTTACCCGTTTAGTGTTAGCATCTTTTCACAGATGTCATTACGAACAACGCGGAGAGACGTAAGCGCCTGCAGCGACTCGTTTGTCGTGTTCGGCGCTGTGCTCCACGGACCAGTACTGGCTTGGTGCCGTGGTGGTCAAGCCATACTCAGAGAATGACAGCAGACCGTGTTTCTCCACTAGCCTCGGCAACAACAGCCCGACAATCCAGCCAGTTTTAGCATTAGTGCAGACCGTTGCTCCGGCAGTAGAAGAGACAGGAATTCGACAGCTACCGGGGCCTGCTGCTGAAGCTAATGCAATGGAAGATCGGACTGTTGTAGAACGGTCCGTTCTTCCACTCTACCCTATACAGGGTTTCGGCCAACTGACTGCCTCGCTGTTGGTCATTCACCTTCTCCAGTGACAGTCCGACCATGGTCGTAGGATCCTGTTCCAAGACATTCGAGTTGGTCAAAAGGACGACAGGCCTACCGGGTAAAGCGGGAAAATTCCCATGGGGGAGTTGGACAATCAGACAATCTGTGCGTGTGGGATGATGGGAAGAAGACCTTTAGCAATGCAAGAAGAGAGGCAGCCGCGGAGACGGCATCATGGTTGGTGTCTTTGTCCTTCTTTGAGACCAATTTATTGATCCGACCGCCACTATCAGCCGACGTCCATTTATGGGACGACAGTAGCAGATGTAGTAGCAGAAACTCTAAATGCCGGTTGAGTAGCATTATGAAGCGATATGTGATAGCGGAACCTGTCGCCTACAATACACAGAAGTGCGGGTAAGAACGCACAAGCTGTAATAGCAGCTTTTCTCTGTACCGCATCGCCAGAACTTGATTCTTATCTTCACTGCCACCGTCATCAAGCCTACAGCAACGATAACGACAAACTCCCGGACAAGGCCATGAACGCTTGAACCCGCTTAATCCAAACAGCAGTCTTGGTCACCGGCACCTGACAATACCGTGCTTATCTTACGCATATCCTGTCCGCCGATGTTCCACTAATGTGGATATCGTTGTCGCTGTATGAGCGTTCGGGATTTGTTGCGAGCGAACGAAAGAAGCCTTGTGTTGATGCCGAGCGATGGTCGAGCTTCCTTCACGATCGTGCATCAGTCTGCCGCTTCCGTATGGTTTTTTTTGGGCCGGTGCAAAGGGCCTCTTGCCATCACTTCTCTTTTTCGACACCGACGTTTGCTCGCAATTGTCCTTATTTTGTAAACGAGGGCAAACTTCTGCTCATCGTCGGAGCGGGCGAATCTCCTCCCGATTGACGAATGGCGGCAAAAGAGAATCTAGATGGACCAATTAGACCCAGAGACACCATTACCGTCAATACCGCCTGACAGACGCCAAACACAGGAAAAGTGCAGCGGAACATGGGGCACTGCGTGTCATATGTGGGGGTTCAGTGCACGATTGTATGGGCTCGTCGTTTATAGCTGCTTGTACTTTATGCTTCACCAAAGGCGATCTGGGGTTTGTGCCGTTTCACTACCGCAAACCAAGTTTTATCTTTCGCCATTCTCTGCCTCGCTTCTTGTCTCATCGTTCAGTTCTCAGCGGCAGTTCTCCTCCGACCTACGAAGTCTTTCATCGCAGTATCGTACGATGACCTTCAATGAGGCCTTCACTAGGATCACCGCTGACGCTGTTCGTAGGCACTGCCGCAACGGCTAGCGCCGCCGCCTTCATGGATTTTACGGCTACGGCAAGTGGAGCGAGGGAAAAGTCGGCAAGAGTGTCCTTGATAATGCTAGATGCTTCTGTTGATGCAAGAAGTAGTAGTAGCAATACTGAATGTGATAATTAACCCAAGGTCATCGTTGTCTCATTATCCCGCATAACCTGTTTCATTGCCGACCGTTTAGCCGCATAGAATGACTTTAAAGAGCAGGCGCATCATACACCTGTGTAACATTTATTCATCAGTAATGCGTGTATCCTTAATGCAGGTAGAAATTACTAGATTCCGATTCATAATAGGCGACTAGAGTTCTACGGGTAGAATTTATTCTCTAGCAAACAGACGACGAATTAAATACGGTATCGTAGTATTGTGGCCGTTCGTTTATGGCGTGTCCATTATAACTTTTCACAAAAGTAGAGCCGATAGCGATATCCAATTGTGTCTTCGTTGGATAGCGGCGATGTTACTAACACCGGTTCTGTGCCGCAGTCCGATATAAGTTAGTTCCATGCGCTTATTGCTATTTAAGACTTAGTAAGCACTGCGCCTTGCCACAGGATGACAGTACTAAAAATCATTGTTTTGAAGCTGTAACATACAACATGCGTAAGGTCTCAAACCTATGCTATTGTTCATGCGTAAATGCTGCCCTGTGTGTGTAAAATAAGAGAAATCAATGTGAGGGCTTTTTCCCCTAAGCCTTTTTTGCCGATACACCGCCAACTACTCCAAGTTCAATATGATTTGGTACCGCCGTCCGCTTCGCCCAGTTATCGTGGACAGACGAAACAGTGGCTAAATTTAATCTACCTTCAAATGACGGTCTTTTCGTCGCATTCCCAGTTAGTATAGAGAATTTTGATGGAGCGGTCGGGATTGGCCAAATTTCCACCAGCTAGTCGCAATAAGTTTTACAACCAGTTGATCCAATTTAGCCAGCATCCGTTAGCGGAGCTCACTATACAAAGAGAACGAAAAAACGTGGGGCTTAACGTAGAGGTAAACGTGGCAGATTGACTTACATAACATGTTCGCTGTGTACTTGAGTCAACGCTTTTAGCTGTTGTTGTTTCTTGTCGGCAGCAATGCTGTGATTGTAACTCAGTTTTTGTGCACGAGCGAACCAAGCATGGAGCTCAATGAGCTGCAAAATAAATGACACAACGTGAAAACTGAGGTGGCCAACAGACGGACGGATGAACAGGGAAGGAAAAGTAATTCAATAGATCGATAGATCGCTGTCGTTAAGAGACTTGAGAATATAATCCAGAGGTACAACGGACGGTCAGAGAGCGATGGTCTGTGATGGGGAAAAGTTTCGAGCAATTCAATTAACACAGCTCAAGCCAACAGGCTACTTCTGCTATCGACGTCATATTGAGCGAGGGAACCATTTGGTTGCACGACGTTGGTTACCTAAGCTTCAAGCAGCAACTTTAGGGGGCACCTCTGCTTGAATACCATCGTAGCGGCGTGTTAGCTTTTACTGCTACCACAATCAACGGCTATCGGTTTGCCGTAGTGTTATTCATTCTATAGCAACGTAGTACGATAAATAGACACTCCTCCCACGTAGTAGTGCTCGTGTACCGCCGGCAAATGCTTTGCATATGAACCTCCATCTATTTCGAAGGTTTTTGCTGACGTCGATGGCGAGAACAAGTCCTCGTGAAGAGTGGCGGCGAGGGATTCAGGAACTATTGACGGCCGCGAACTAAAGAGCTGCTCCGATGTCTCCTAGGTTACCTGTTCCCTACTAATGATCTAAAGATTGGGGACTGCCAGCTTAGCTTCTGCCTTGCATGAAAGCTTTTAATCCTCAATCACATTCTCTTTGCCCATAAAGCTATCGGAACCGGAACCATTAGGTTTCATATGCGAATGCACTACACAGATATGTATATAAGAAAAAAGACAGGTCAAAGAGAGGCTATATAAGTGAACGAAAGCCACGGCAGTCGAAATAATTCAAGTCAAAATCTACTAGGAATACTATCTAGGAATACTAACTAGGAATAGAAGCGACAAAATGATTAAAAAAGATCCACTTGACAAGTCTCAGCGTTCGGACTACGTTGTCAAGTGGCCTCTGTGAAGCAGTCAGGTTGACGTTCAGGTGAAGCGGTAAAAACACTTCGTTTACTGAATGAACTGTATTGTAAATTAACAGAGGATCGTTCAATTAGCTTTATTACGTATTTAACTTACTTCCTTAACTCCACAATTAAGACTGGATGAGTCCACTAAATAAATATGCCGAAGAAGTTTGCTAGGGAGATTGCTGCGATGAAACGACTCTGAGCCCCAAGGACATGTAAATGTCAAAAAATAGGTTAAGTACTATTCGATCAAATCTTGCTTACTATTACTATCATAAACAAAAAGATAGAAAATTCAATTAAGACGGGCCTTGGGCGTTTACCCGCTACAGTCACCCATATTGATATTCTATCTATCGTACTAGAGAGGTCAACATCCGCTCTTTGTCCCCTGGCCTTCTTCATCCCTTTACAAGCTTTAATGCGGGTATTTAAATATTCAGTCCACACACAACGTTTGCTTCACGTCACTCTCATTTGTTGAACCGATAGATATCTATCTATATATATATAGATATGGGTTTGTGACGTAAAAAATACCTAACGTTCCTTAAGTATGCAGCATGAACCTTTTTCTCATATCCTTAATATTCATATAGAACTGAAACAGCGTTATTATAGAATATTCCACGTTATATTTTTATGTGTAAATTGGGTGTCGGCATTTGCAAATATATGCCGGACAGTAACAGCCTATATAGTAGCTTTGAGTCGTCCACATCTATATTATGCTTCGTCATTTAGCCCCTAATTAGATTTCACAAAACGTGATTCCGGAAAGGTCCTATCTGTTCTTTCTTGTGTGCGCTTAAATAGATTGCAAGAAGATTCATTGATCACTCTAATGCTATAGCTACTATCAAGTTCGTACCCTATTATCTTATCTTTTGTTACCTTTAATCGGGTATATTTTTTTTAGTCGGGCCTCTCAGCCGCAGGGGACCGACCTTCAAAGGATGGCAGCTAAGGCTTTCTCAAGCTTATTAGCTTCAGACACTTACGTACCAGTACTGGTAAGCGTTTGAGCTAGCCATCAGCAATACGTCATCGTTACTGTGTTTATCGACCAATGACATTGTGTGTGAGCGTGTCTGTGTAAAAAGCGTTACCTCTATCGATAGGTTTTGCTTGCAAAATTCAGAGCGTCGCCTGCATCGAATTCCTCTACAGAAACCAACATTATCAACTGTTAGCCTATTCTTTCCTTCTTTATTTCTTTATACTTGTCAAACATCTGGTTTAAATATAGCAGCCAGCATTGATAACGCGTTCTGTTTGCTTGTCAATCGTTCGCTTGCGATGTACATCATGTATATGATATCCCGGGTGGCGCTAACTCTCTTTTGCAATATAGCTTATATCGGGTCGATGTATTTGTACCGGATATTCGGACGTCTCGGATACGCGACGACGCCGTCGTCAATAATAACAATTATAATCGCTAACTGAGATACACTTGTACGGTCATAGGTTTTATTTTAGGCAGTAAAGCACGAATGTATATGGTTTACGAATACGAGTGCCTCGTGGTTCGACCAGATCTCATCGCAAGATCATATAAACTCATTTGAGATTAATAATAATACAGTAATTTGTCCGCTGTCTCGGAACTTCTCTGGCTAAATACAATAGCGCAGTACCTTTTGTGCGTGCAGGATGACAGAAGGTCTTCTTCATGCAGCGCCGCGCATCAGTCGAGGAACCATGATGGAACATTGACAGTGACTGTGCATATACTAATCGCGTGCCATTAAATACGAGAGATTTTTTAGTTAAAAACATATCGATTATATATGACCCTGCTGTATAAGCATCAGAAGAAAACAGTGCATCTTCGTTGTGTATGCTTGTGCTTGTTGTAAGCTTTCAACAGTAATCGTGATTGTGGTTTTTCACGATTTAAGACGATTGACGCATAGAAACAGGACTAGGAAAAAAAGAACCATAAGACTCGAACATAGCGCAGCTGAGTCCATAACAAATCGTGGCTGAACTTCGATAAACTGCCCCACAACAAAAGGTACAATCATCTCGCCCGCTGCTGTACCAACCGCAAAGAGTCCTCCAATCCGGTTGCTCACGTGGATATGACCGCTGACCCAGCTGTAAGTTGCAGGATATATAGCCGACATGCCTGGCACAAAAGAATCCGACAAACGAATTACTTGGAGAATATTGATTTGTTAAATAACTACATGGCCACTTGAAGGCCCGTGAAAAAATATAGTAAGTAGCATATACTTAGTGATTTCCGGCCAACGGATAGTAAAACTAATTGATGTTCAGTTAATTTTCGAACCAAGTGCCTGTCATCACTGCTCAATCTCTGTGTCGCAACGACTGCGTCACACTAGCTTAACTTTGGCGCCCTTTTTCCTATCAACATCCGCGTCCATTGACTTATTCATCAGTTTTTCAACGATCAGTAAACATCCATACTGAAGGCTTTTCGGGATTATCCTGTTGCTCTTCCTAGACTAAGCTAAAACAAGCTCGAACCTACACACCCTGAATGGTTCTATAATCACGTTGTACCGCTGCGTCATTGCAGCTGTCCATGCGGTCGCGCTTCCATTAAACTGATTCAGTAGGCCACTGCACTGTTCGACTCATGTCGATGAATTACGATGTTGTCCCGTTATCATGCACTCCCTATGATTCGATGATAACGTTTCAGCTATTCGGCCAGTCGCTTCTATCGCTAGGTTTTTCTGATCCAGATAAAAAGGCAGCACCATGTTAGCCCCGTGTCCCCGTGGCAGGCGTCTTTTTCCCGTATGCTAATTCTATCACGTCCTAATTACAAGTTAGCCATCACCATGTTACGTTACTATGTCGTCGTCTTCTTATATATTCTCAAGATACAAGCAACTAACCTTTAAAATTCAAGCCTGAACAACTAAGCAAGTGCGCTATAGGAAACGATCATCTTTTTAGAGAAATCTTCACCCTTCTGAGGAGAACATGCCGTATGCTATCTCTCTGTAAGTAATAAGGCAAGTTTTTCGATTCTGTTTTGAAATAGCACAATTACAGAGCGTGAAAAAACGATTTGTAGATCACACTCTTTTAGCTTGCCTTAGGGTATTCTTAGTCTTGTAGCACAGCTTAGGAGATCGAGTCCTATAAACTTGGCTTTTTAAAAAAAAAGCCCACAAAAAGGGCTAGCGATGTTAAGGTTCGTGGACAGAGCGGCCAGTGTCATCGTCATCGGCAGTTCTGCTTCAGTGCAAACATTTGAATTAGGTCGCACATCGGGAATTGACAGCCATACATATCACAGCCATACATTGATGTATGCTACACGAAGGACGTAAATGGAACAATTATATTATTTCGCGACCTGGGAAAAAAGGCATGTAGTACAGACAGTATAAAACGCTAAATATAAATATTAACATTCGCTTTCAGGGATTTCGCAGTTGGTTTTCTCTTTTAAGCACATGCTACCATTTTTACTCTTCGCGCGACCAATTCTGCTACGTGTACATTCAAATGTGCAATGTATATAAATACGATACTATATGTATAAAATGCTCTAAGATATAGTTAACTCGTACCGGCATATATGGCGCAATGGAAATGCTTTTTATTTGTATCTAGCAGTTATTACGTTATCGCCGATGGTTGTTCTGTTACAAGCTGTTCCGTGAATAAAATTCCGAGCAAATTTAATGTATTGCAGTACTTACCGAGACCAAACATAATGGTGCCAAGCCATAGAACAAGCAGGGACTGAGCTGCAAAGAGCATAAGTGAGAAGCATGCTGCTACAATAATCACGTGATCGACGATGATGAGCGTGAAATTTTTAACAAAGTGGCTGAGGAAAATAGACGCTCCACGGCCGAGCATGAAGGCACCCCAGAAGCCCGAAGTCAAAAACGAAGCTGCAGATTTGCTTAGTCTCTGACCTTCTTGCAGAACGACGGCGTACGTGGCAATCAGTTGGCCATAAGCAATCTCGATTCCGCCGTAAATGAGGAAGTGCAATAGAACAAGAAGTATTATTGCAGCAACGAGCAATCTTGTTGGCCAGGGCTGAAGTTTTGGATTGGAGTGATGTTGTTCGGGAACTCGTTTAGGATCAGCAGAGTTTACCAACGAAACGGCAAACGTGACGATGCCGATAGCTGCCATGAACAACCCGATTACACCGTAGGAGATCTCCTCGTAATAGTTCGCTTCATATTCCTGCATAAGAAGCTCTTTTAAGTTTCTCGATTTAGTCTCGTTAAAGTTTGCCGCACGAGTATTGGTAATTTGTGTCGGTATTAGAAAAGGTTCTGCAATGAGCGGAGCAATAAAGGTTCCGACACTAAAACTAAAATGAAGAGCGTGCACAAATGGGCCAGGCTTCACTCGCCATAGATCGAGACACCAGACGGTCGAAGCTGTCGAATAAAGAGACAAAAAACAATGACGTTTTCAAATACCTAATCTGTAGATGTTTGATATCTAGGAAGCGCCGAGCAATCTTTAGAAGATCTAGGTAATTATTCTTCACTATGTTGTTAGGAAAAAAAAACCTGAGGCAACTAGCTTAATTGGTCTAACGAGTGATTTATGATGGTCTTTTTTGGGCTAGGATTTAATAGGCACTTTTGTGCATATGTCGGTGTGAGAGAGCTGCAGTTGATGTTAACTGTGGCAATCATTGGCTGAAGACTACTATATTGAGCACCTACATAGACATCAACGACAGCTACTGGGCCACGGCTTAATGTTATGTATGAAGGCATATCATACAACGCACGTTTATAGGCTATAACGAAAAGCTTTTTTTCTACTTAATTTCTGACTAGCCAAACAATGGCTTCAGGAACGACTAGGCCTTAGTCAGGAGGACAAGAGTGTTTCTATACTATCGCGTAATGGATCTTGCTCTGATGCGCCTTCGGTATTATATACGATTGGATTTTGTAGGATAGTGTAAATGATTCGAGTTTATACTTTTCTCGTTTTCGAGATTGATATATTGAAGTATGACGTACTGGTAGCAACGGAGTTGTGTACTCGTTTGGATGGGGATAAGTATTAGGCGTGCTTGGTTGGCCCTGGTTATAAGCCTAAAGTGTTAGCGCTGCAACCTTGATTGCAACAAAGAAACTTTGGTTGAATGTCACCTTAATTCTAATTGCTAATATAGCACGCAACCCGCGCTTCGAGTTTTGTGAGCCTACAAAACGCATTACTAGATGTGTATGGAATTAATGGATATTATAGGGATCTCAACACTGTCGGTATGTCTGTTTTCAACAATGATTGTGTTATCATGCACGTTAAGCATGCATAACGTACATGATATGGGTTATAAGCTATCTGATTTGGCTTACCTGTATCCACCATGCCCATGTTAATTCCGTTAAGCAACATTACCCCAATGAGAAGCTCTAAAGAAGCGCACCAGGGAAGTAGACCCGTAAAGACTCCCGAACAAAAGTATGACACGGCTAGCACTCGGACACGGTGGAAACGCTCCAACAGGAGACCACCTAATTTGATGAGGCGAGGCAGGCTTTCGTTAGTCTTCATTTAACTTGGCCCATTTTCACTAGTTAACTTTGGACGCTGCCAGTTCCCTGACTTCAACTGCTGGCAGGTAAAATGTTATAGTTATCATTGGACTAAACAGTAACGTCATCGAAACATAATCGGGATTCCGTACGCCTGATTAGAGACAGCGGAACAGAATCAGCAACTGCCCGAGGCTACGCTGGCTATATAAACATATAACCAGATTATTGTGTAAAATGATTTGAACTTATTGATGTAAATATGGGTGTTTCGTACTGTCAAATACAGTTGTGGCTTGAATGCTGACGAAATGCTTCTGTCCCATTATATATTCAAACGATATATTACATTTCATCACCTTTTATGGATAAAACTGAAAAAAATTAAGTGACTGATACTATCAGTGATAAAATTTCCGTAATGTAAGCTCGAAACGACAGTATATATTTAAAACATTCTAACGTTATCGATTAGGAACCGAATATGGAAAACATAGTTATCAGGAAGGTCCAGTTTTCCCTAAGTCAAGAACCCTTCCCTCTCTTTAGGAGTGCGGATCAAAAGCAATAATCGATTGGAACTTTGTTGCTAAAGGATCTGACGTCTGATCTTGTTTTAATACGTTATATTATTGCAACAATCCCAGAATGGTAAGGGTGAAGTTTAAAATGATCAAGGTAACTGCCGTTGGCATATTTCAACCTTCACTGCTACAAGGTAATTTATTGAGAACACAAACCAGCGATCATAAGCTAAGCTTGAAGTAACTTTTTTCGTCAAACTAGAAACTCGTCATAATCCATTAGATCTAACGTTGTAGTTGTAACCGTAGTACGGCACTTATCATATGCCTGATTGATTGACTGTACAGGGAGGTACGACGATGCTGCGGAACAGCGCGTGGCAGACGATCGCAGCAGGGTTCTGAGCGTCTTGGAAATCTAACAACCACAGCTGAAAAGTGTTGAATATTCTCCCTGCTTACGTATTGGCTTCGTGTTTCTTGCATGCGAGTTTCTCTGGCTTAACTCGTCTCTTATTTTTTTTCCGTTGCTATTTTACCGCGTCTTTTTTCCAGTACTTCTCCTCTGATCACCTTGTTCTGGGCATGTTCTATGGGGGATGTATGCTATTGCTGCGTTGTCTTCGCGTATTTGTATGCATCTTTGCAGCAACAGTCTCTGTTCGTTGTAAATACAGATTTGGCCGGAATAAATGCGCGCCATTGGGCTGACGACGTGCAGAAGTGTTTTGGGAAATATATGCATGTCGGCTATGGAGCTCGACAAGAGATGTACGAGGCCCTTGGAAGAGCAAGCCATTAGGTCCTGGATACGTATAAGCAAGGCTATCTACTTTGCACTCATTTCTCTTCGCTTTACTTGTTTTGCTCGTCGCAGGGCGCCTGCTTTCTACCTGGCCGCTCTGCTGCGTTTACTCTTCCGCCAGTTCGTTATTTGCATCTGCTTCCGATCGGACATCGTGGCTTAGCCGGAGGACCACCTTAGATTCCTCCACGCGATCTTCCCAGGGCCGTCCCCGGCTAGCATTGCTGCTGCCTCCGAAGTTGGATAGATGCGGCTACGATCGGCAACCGCGGCCCTTCTAGCAACCGCTGCGGCTCCTGTTTGGGCTAGGCAAAGGAGAACGCTGGGGATAGGAGAAGCCCGAAAGGGAACGTAGCGAAAAAGAGAAGCACGCAATAGAGGAAAAGAATGAAGGAGAGATGTTTGCTGGCGGCATTCCAGCACCTTTTCGCCAGCAAATCGCAAATACGTTCAATGCATTCTCCCAGTCTTCCTGCGCGGCAACATGCACAGATTCAACATTAGGGCTGTAGGTGTCCGTTACGGTGATCTGCATAGCGCGTTATTCCACTATAAAGATTTTAGAAATGTCATGAATATTTTGAGTGTCTGCCAAGCGAGGGGTACGTACGTACGGCGCACGGTACAGGTGGCTGGAGACCAATTTTTATATCGATCTGCATAAATGACTTCAATAAGCGCATATACACTCAGTACCATAGATACGGAATTAAAGTAGAATGAGGAAAATGTGGACGCATCGAAAACATGAGTGTCCCATATACTCGCATGTATGCGACCGACGATTCTCGATCACAATTCTAAAAATAATGGCAATAAAATAATAGCTTTTTTGTTTGCCACCGATGTACAACTGTTTCTGATAGATTGCTTCTCAATATCATCAATTGTGAAGCTTGTATTGCATTTCTTTAAATGTCTGCTCCGATATCCCACTATGCCATGACCGTCAGCACGCATCAGCCAGCGTTAAAAAGTCATAAACGGATGTTCTGGTAAGATACTGCAAGGTTTACAATGAAAATTAAACTCCAAATTCGAGAAATGCATCCGCTTTGTTTTGCGCAACGACAGTCAAATAGAACTAACTATTTTCATAAATTTTCTATGAATTTACTCTGCGCATGAAGTCACATAACTTCATGATTTGGAACGACCGATTTAATGACACGAAAACATTATCGAGCGGCTCCATCAATAGTAAACCGTTCTCTTATCCATAGGACGAGCTGTGAGCTATCTAGACGATGGATGGGGCAATTTTAAGCTAAAAGATGATTTTTCTGAAAGTACTTTACTATACTCATATCCTTACCACGTATAGCAACACATCTAGCACCGTTAATTTTCTGAAGCCGAATTGTGACAGAGACAGGCAAAAAGACTGTTTACGTTGAATTAGCCTAACTCGAAAGGATTCTGATACAGAGTGTTCTATTTTAATTTACTTACTACACGAGCCATGTGCGCATTTTTTTCCGTTATCTGTTAAATCCTTTATGCCGCGTACGATATGTCTGCAGGTAAAATGGCTCGCGTCTGACTGTCACATTGAAAAAGCTAAAGAATGAAACGAATTATGATACAATAACAAAATGCTAGGGGAGCGTTAGCATTGACAGACAGTTTTTAATCAACCAGTTGCTACGCGCCATTTCTATGCACAAACAAATCTTTTCTATTATTAACAAAGGTAATATAAATATGCGTGCGGCTATCAACTGGGTTCGACTTTGACTAGCACGATCTAAGTGCACGATAAGATCCTGGAACCAATTGTTAAGCAATAACTTCTGTAGAATCGACGCATACGTCAAAACTGACATTACTCAGATGCGAGAATTTTTTTCTCGCACAGGTCCCGTGATAATCATCAATCCATGCTAATGCGATATCTTGCTTGATAACACACTCAGTCTATGCTTAGACACCGAAATTTTCGAAAAGGCATTCCCATGTCGCAGATTTCCACCCAAGCTACCGTACTTTTCAATCGTAGATGGTAGCTATGAATTGCGTATAAGCTAGTTTTTCCATGCCGGGCTTAAACAGATGTATGCGACCATTATTGACCCCACGACAAATTGAACACACGTAGAACGACAGGCTGCTGAGTCATCCGAGAGAATTACAGCAACATCTTGACCTGATGTGTTTCAGGATTTCCGGCTGTGAGGCTTTTCTGGATGCTACTACGTAATTGACGGGCTGTGCATTTGGCGTCGTCACTTTCTCTCGTGATGATTGGATCGATAACCTTCTTAAAATTGCGTACCCGTAGATTGACGAGCATCTGCAGCAAATCCCTTTAATGCTTTAGTCGTTTTGCTGACATACTTCAGAGCCGAAAGTGTATGTCCGGCCTTAAGACTTCTACTCGGAAAATACTAAGCTTACAGCCAACCGATTAGATTTGGAATGGCATAACACCTTCTTCCTGAGTGTAAACGATGCAGAACAACGCTGAAACGTAATCATCGATGTTATGCTTTGACTGACGCTATGGGGACCCGATCATCACCTCAGGGACCCCCGCTATGCAAGCAATCCATTTCTCAGCTGGATGGTATTGACACAACGTTAGTCTTGCGGGCGGGCGGGCGGGCGAGCGAGCGTGTATTCGTACCAAATCTAAAAAATGTATCTGCAAGCATCGGATTTTGACGCGATATCCTGAGTTCCTTAATTGATCAAGTCATTCTGGCTTATAACCTTACACCGCGTTGTGTGATTCGGCAAAGCAAGTCACTCGTGACGAGGCTCGGAAAAGGGACACAGCCTGCAGTCCTGTTCAGAGAAACTAAATTTTCTCTTACATCCCAGTGGATCTAGCAGCGAGTGCTGTAAAGTGTTAAAAAATTTTTCAGCTCTTAATGAAGTCGCTTTGAAAACAATTCCTTGGATCCTTACTTTTCCAGAGGACACCGTACGCATGGTTTTGCTTTAACCTTGTCACGTAAGTGTTTCTTGCAGCTTATGCGCTCGCTACGCGGTTCTTCGGAGAAACCCTCAGGATCTAAGCGCTGTGTTTACATATATGGTCATACGTCGGCGACGGCTCGCGAACGCCCAAATGCTTGACTAAGATACATTCTAATCGCTTCATTTGCCGTCCCACGACGCCATTAAGAGGGAGCGCTCTGATTCGGGCGTTGTTGGCGATAGCAATGAACAAGAGTTCTAGAGCTATTTTCGTTTGCGCCCTCTCTGTGTATATAGAGTGATGTATGTTGATTGTCAAACCATACTATAATATATATAGTAATCACATCGTGTATTCTGCCTGGCTTTTAGCCCTTTACTTCGTTTCTATTATTTTCGACAGTTACCCTGTCCCTAATTAGCGTCCAGGCGCACTAAATATTCTACCCAAACCCATACACATGTCATTGTCATGTTAACGGATACGGCATATGTTGATAACAACAACAACAGCAGCAGCAGCTATCATTAATTAAATTTCTACTGTTACTTTTTCTGTTAATTAAAGTCCAGTTTTAACTGTTGTATGTGGAATTGTTTCCATCTATGTAAGTCGACAAGTGTTTCGCACATGTTATACACGTAGTGTATGTACATTTATGTAAAGACGCAGATTTAATTATGGAACTGGTGCACCAAACAAGACTATGCAAGACTGGTATACCCAAAAATATTGACTTAAGTATTCAAAGCTTTGACATTATTGAACAGAATCCTTTTATACGTCGGATGATCGCATAGTATAACATAAAAAATGGCTATGGCCCTCGGTGAAAAATTAGACACGACATAGGATATTTTTAAAGCGTGTCCTGAAGTAAATATTATCAATCAAGATAGCATTTGCGAAAAAGTGACTAATCAACTACCTCCTTAATGATAACTTACCAATCAGACATCCGATGATGAGACCGCCAGAACGCGCTGTGTAAATGGTCGCCATGTTACTTGTATTGGTGTTGAGCTTGAAGGCGAGGTCCTGTAACGTTGGACCAACGACTGAGAAGCACATGCCCTATTGCAAAGCATACCATATGTTAGAGAAAAGAGAAATTCAAGATCCTGCAGATTTTATTAGACTAGGAATAGTTGTGACTTAAGTCCGGTCAACCGAAAATGTCGCCGAATTTCCTCTACAGCGGTGGCCCATTCTTTAATCCATAACAAGTAGTATATACAACATTTTAATTTCGAAGCAATTTGGATGTCGAGCTATTGATATTTTATTTAATGAATAGATACCCAAGTAAGCCTAGCTTAGTATACGGTACGATCGTTTCGTTTCAGTTAGTCCTTCCCATAAGCATATACGGGGTGAGGTATAAGCAACGCAAAAGCCACACCCTCTAACCTATAAAATTAATTGAGTGACTGCTGGAACGGCTAACTCCTTATGGACAAATGCATTCTTCACTAGGTTAGTTTTGCATGCGTATGAAGCTTATGCTTTCAGTGAGATCTCAAACGTTAGCAACTTCGCAGTTCTTTATTCTATCCCATTGAGTCAACAGTCTACTCCCGATACACCTGATGCGCTAATAATAAGCCAAAATATCGTGAAATAGTTCTTAAGGTTGGCTCTCTGTATACGTAGCTCGATGAGCCCCATGATAAGAACTCTACACGTCTTCATACCTCCATATGTACGTAAACATAATAACAAGTAACTTATAGACGTAAATGTATATTACGTCTATAAGTTGCTTGTTATTATGTCTATATGACTGAAGGCAACTGCGGTTTCCATTTAATTACCACAACGTCCCCAGCAAAGGCAATATTATAGGTAGAAGCTGGCGCTATTTGACGCACTCACAGAATACTCGTAAGCGACTCCTGTTGCGGGAGTGGATAGAAGCAGTTGGAGGCAGAAAGGGATCGACGAGCGTATGTAGGGAAGATTGAAAAAGGGGGCTGTTTCGAAGGTGTAACAAAGTGCTACGATCGCTACCAAAACATCGTTCGTCGCCAAATGATCTGTGTATAATTTTATATGCAGTGCGAAGAGCATCTAGGCGGTAAGAATGTTTGCACAGGGTGTAAACAGAAAGAACGAATATTATCACAACGGGGAGTGATTACATCGCACATAGTGAGATAACTATTGTAGTTTCGATTTAGCAAGCACACGTAGTAACTTATCTGCTGATTATTTGATTTTGTCGTTAGAATAGTACCTAAGGAGATACGTGAGTTTGTACACCTGCAGATAGTCATAGCCTAATTAGACATAGAAGTGAAGTGGATCTGTAGCATGCCCGAACAGTTATAGAACGGTAACAAGCCGCAAAACACCTAAGCCAGACTTCGAAAAAAAACTTACCAAACAAAGGAATCCGCCATACAGAAGAATGGTCCTCAGCGAACGCTCGCATAACGTAAGATCCTTCTGTCGAGCAAGTAGTAAGGAACATAGAACGATTGTTACTACGACACAATCATGTTAGTTCACTTAGCATGGATGCCATAGCAAGGATGTATTGTGTACTACAAAGTAAATAGGTCCTCATCAGGCTATTGCTTCTTATTGTGTTTGACACGTTCGTACAGATACCGTTGTCGACAAATGGAAACTTCAGCAACAATAAGACTATACCGGTTAGGATTATTCCGTGTCTATTCTATTTAGTATCGCTCAAGATCTACTTTACAGATGTAGTATTGCTTCGAAAGTGCAAACTGAGTACGGCATATCATGGCGGACCTAGAGGTCAAAATTGGTATTAGGCCAGACACTCATGCAAGCTTGCATATCGTCTCGACTTTAGAGAATCGAGTATGCTTTCCAGAGATTTTGCCGGGGCTCTCGATTTAGATGGCTAGTTCAGTCGTCCGCAACGTTCTCAAAGCCATAGACAGTGACATCACAGCAGATGTTTGCATTTTGTGTTCCATACTGGCACGAAGTTCTAGCATTTACTAGCTTGCCCATTTTGAATTACTAAAGCTCTGTATATTTTAGGTATGTGGATTACTGCACAATGAAGTGCAGTTATTAGGTACAATGTTATGTTTGATGTGATGATGAAACTACTCTTCGTATCGTCTGAAAAAAGGTCAACAAACAACATTACTCATATGCCAAAATACCCACTATTCGGTATGCGGACCGAAACGTACGCTTGGCAAGTTCTAGTACAGGAAGTAGAATCAGAATATCTGCTACCTCGCCGATTGGGTTATGCAGTTAATAAATAAGGACAGGGTAAGGGGTCTTTTTGTCAGGGATTTGATCTCAAAGGTTTCGCCCGATAATAGGTGATTCAAACCTCAACTTAAAGAAACAGCCTTTCGATACCAGAATATTAGAAGAAAAATCTGATATGCGGTTGCTATAGATAGATTTCAATACGCGTATTAGTAATCATAGAAACTGTGCCCGGTAACTTTTTTATTTTCCGTATTATAGGAAGTAATAGATAGCTATCACATACCTTACGTTATCGAATACCTTTTTTGCAGAGGAAAATTAAACCAGTATATGCGAAAAACACGCTGACTAAAAATGGCTGTATAATTCATATAGTACTACATAAAGATGTCTTGAAGTATTCCTTTGCGTTTTAGGCGTTTAGTCAACTCAAGCATCCTGCATGATCACTCCACGTGACAAGGAGGCAGACGAGTTTGCCTAAAACAAGGAAGGTCTACAGCTCAGAATCCTTGCGTACAGATTTGTTGTGGATAAAAATAGTTTTTATGTATTGTGGCAACGCTTAGCCGCGAGTAAAGCAATAAACTGGAACGAATACCTCAAGAGCTCATTTGAGCTTCAGTGCCTTCGCTGAGGCCTGAATAGGTCAGTAGCCCCTTCGTCTAACCACAGCGTTATTGATTGAAATGAAACTTCATTAAACTGTCAGCCCGTGTATACATCATACTGATGTAACCCAGCACAAAAAACAAAGAATAGTTACGCCTATAGCTTCGTACGTGAGAAAGGAAATTTACAATGCCGACAAACACAAATCGTGTCACCTGACAGCTCCGTCTACTTTAATGATGTGAAAAAAGAACAAGAATATGCGAGTACCTGCCCTTGTCAACAATAAGAATCGAAATCACGTTTTGTATGTTAAAAATTGGCGAGTTAAAGCATGGGTGACCGTATTAAAGCACACGAAAGCTGTATACCTTTGAATTGAAACAAAAACCTTTGAAATAGCACTTACTCTTTCCAACCCCATAGCAAAGTTCGGCTAATCCGTATGCAAAGCGTGCACTTGCTACCTTGACAATGTCAGTGACTAGCATTGCATTGACGGTGTCTTGTCCTAGTCTAATGTTCATTATAGCAGTCGGATACGGGCGGACCACTAGCCCATCGCTACAAACGACCGCTCATTTTCAAGGTGATAGGTAAGGGAAACGGTGCGCATTCTTGACCATGCTATAGCTACTAAAATTACAATCGCCACTGGTAAAGCAGCTTGCATGGAAACCAAACTGCTTCGGAGTTGGACTTGGCGGTTTTTTTCGGTGGGTAACAGTACAAAGAGGAGAGCGTCAGTGCGCGTCCGATGTCCTTGTGGTCGTCATGTGGTCATTTTTTGCCACCATTTGTGCTTGGGTAGATAGAGATAGAGAGAGAGAGAGAGAGAGAGAGTGAGAGTGAGTGGGTGAAAGATTCATCTGCTGTAATATACCGGCTTCGCTGTTGTCGTTATTGCCGCTGCGAGTGAATCTTCCGCTGCTTTCGAACGAAACTACGCGACGTGAGATGGCTGTTTTTCCGTGCTGAATATTCCAGCGTGTTCAAATGGTCGTCAACAGCGACGACGATGACAAAAGATTGCACTGCTGTCTCTTTATGAGTCGATTTACGGCACACACATAAGATGCAGGCAAACATGGACTCAGTCAGTCGGTGTTCACCGGTAGCGATAAAAACGTTTGTTGGCATAGCGGAAAGAGCAGCAGTGACATTGGCGGTCGAGTTTCCCGACCTTTACAGGCATTGAGAGAACAAAGGTACACAGTCTAAAGAAGCTACTCGGGGGTAGGATAACATTGCAACCTAATTGCATGTCCACACAAAGCACCGTCGCAGACCTGCATTTGTGATACCGCTCGTAATGGACAGATAGACAAATAGTTGTAACGGGTGTCTAAAAATCGGTAAAAAAAGAAACACAAAATGGAAAACTCGCTTGCTGCTGCCGCCCGTATCGTTGAAGGCAGTATTCATTATGCAACATGCAAAAGCATGTTCATTCATTTCTTGGCAACGACATCCAATTGATTATGTTATGAAGGCTACCCAGATTTTTAATTCTAGAAATGATTCTCGCACGTGAAGTTTTGCTGGATGTTGAAAAATTAGTTTATTGATCCTGACCCAAAGTACCTCGCAATATTATCAAAGTAGTTATAAGCATTATGGCTATAATAACAATAGCACATCTATGGGTCTCTCGCTGGCAGCACTTTGTTGAATACCTCAAAATATGATTCTCGCAGCCGTTGCAAAAATATGGAGCAAAATCCACCTATTCGGGCTGCCGTTTGGAGCAACTGGGAAGGAAAAAAACATATGCTAATATACTCCTGGGATACTCTGGTGTTGTATAGCCAAACCCGGTCCGCTACTGTCTATTCATTTTTTGAGAAAACGTTGTTGGAAGCATCTATGTCGTTGGCTCATATAGACCCAAAAGGTGGGATCATCGTCCATTATTTACAGCTCGCAACGAACCAGCGCATGCATCAAACTGCGACAAATTTATTTTCTATCAATTACTATGCTCGATGATAAAGATTCTGCAGTTGATTGTTTTCCCCTCGAAATGCTCTACACGGCTTTTCCTTTACTATACGTGTCTTAACACCATTGTTACCATGTAAACAAGTCGTCGGTATCACCTTTTCTGTACAGCATCAAGAATCTGCCGCCACTAGAAAAGCTGGTCATGACGGATCTTGTTATACCTATCTGGGGTACGGTTGAAACGGTATTGTAGCCATATATCACGTTAATTATTTTCCGTTGCTAAATTCTGAACCAGCCATAAGCACATATTCATGGTTATTATAGCAACGCACTTAAAGGGTTGCCATTAGCTGCCCAAATTACGCCAGCGCTACCTTTATTACTTAGAGTGATGTTATTAACCTGACAATTTTCTAGTGCCACTTCACTTCATGTTAGTTTATTCGGTTGTTTATGTAGACAAAGACGATTGAAGATCACCACGTCACTTTCTCATTATTGTCAGCACCCCTGATTGTCCTATTCTCTTTTTGTTTCTGATTCACGAAGGTAGAAGAGGCGTAATGTACAATGACGACGATGACTGTCTTAGGTAGTGCCGGTTAATAGTGATAGCCCACCCTGTTCCTCACATTTGCACTTGCCTACAATTGTACTTGCTGCTACGCCAGCGGGCCGCATGCCTCTAGCTAGAAACGATGTATCGAAAAATAGAATCAATCATGATTTAGCTCGCTGTTACTGAACATGCGGCCGTTCCAAGCGGGCGTCTACCATTGACCCTTCTTTTAGCTGTCTCCCATTATTTATTTCTTATGCTACCTCACTTCGCCGTCGACAAACTGAGTCATACACTGAACGACGTATAGATAATGTGTGGGAGCGAAGGGGAATGAGCCAGGGTAATATTTCCGTGAACGTAATTGCACAGACAGCGATGGCCTCTAATGCACGCCACGTCCGCATGCCTATGTGATGCGAGGCCAACAAAAAGCAACGAAACTTAACAAACAACCCATTTAGTCTGTAGCGAACAAGGCTATCCTGATAGGATCACAAAACATTAGCAAGATCATTTAATCAAACATAGAAATAACAGTGCGTAATGATTAAAGCAAAATACTGCCGGCGGCAGCAGCAGCAGCAGCAACGACAGAAGCGGTAGCAATTTTTTGGAAACGGAAATTTTTCGCATCTCGGTTCTTCTGCATATTTCGGTTAGCGCTTGTCGTTGAGTTGTTACGACGCTATACTACTACATGGGCCACTATTACAGCATGCACTGTAACACTATTCTGCAGTAGCGTCGCCTTTACCTATACCTCAGTTTTAATTACATACTACCGGAACTAGTAAGTGCTTCTTTGCGTGGCTCTGTGTGCTAGTTTGAGTTGTTCATAATGCGAGCGCATTGTGGGCCCTTAAAGAAGGATTCTGGTTCTGTTTTTCGCTAGCTTTCTGTTGCTTATTTTCTAACTGACCTTCTTGCATTTTTTAAATCTAATTTCCTCCTTCATGGTTGTCTTCATGCATGCTCTATGGTAAAACAAGTAGACATGATTAGCGCACCGTTGGGAGCCCTCTGGTCTACAGGGGCGATATGTAGTTTATGCAGGGCCATATAATTGCCTGACCACGAAGTGCGTTCGTCAGGCTGTGCGAATGTTTGTATGCGCAAATATTCCCTGCGCCACCGTCTCCGATCGTTGCATATTATTTCTGTTTGGTCGCGGCATACCGGAACCCAGCACAACCGAAAGCGCGTTGTTTGTGGCGTGGGCAGGCCTTAACCCCTCAAACGAAAGAGGCCTCCTCAACTGCTGAAGGCTATTAAAACAATTCTCAATAATGCTACATTGTACTCTTAATGGCATATGCGGCCAATCCTTGTTGCCGTTACGCACGTTTATGAGGAAATGCTGCTGTCATGTGCGACTGGCGTACGAAGCGGACGGGAAAGGAAAAGAAGGAGGGTACCAGCCCTTTAACCGTAGGAAAGGAGAGAACATTTCGTGGTTGCGCTGATATTTGATTTTTGCTTTGTGCCGACAGACAATGCCCACTTCTGGTATAGGACGAACCTCGCCTTCAGACTATAATGCAACAAACACAGACATGATTTGTTCGTTTGCGAGGTAGAAAAGGCGTACTTGGCGGCTTAAAGACGATGGCTATGACAGGGGCTTGCCAAATACTTGGAGCTCGAATTCAAAACGAATAGATTATAGTGTTCATCAGACTCCCAAGCAGCAAACAACTTACTTGCACTGCCACTGCCGGAAGGGCCTATGCACAGCTGATCAATCCCCGGCTGATAAATCTAAAAAAGTACAGAGAGCGAGAAAAGAGCTTTTCCCTCAGGCTTTAGGAAGGCGGCTGTTTTATAGAAGACAACAACCTTGAAAACCTTCTTTGTCTTTTAGCTTGTTTCGACTTCTCGGATAACATTTCTTTTTGTTTAAGCGAATAATTTAGGCAAGCTATTTGATTGTAGACTCCGGTTCGTACGGTTTACAGAAAATACAGCCTATTTGTGTCGAAAACCGCTGATCAATAGGGATAGTGAAGAAGCCCTAACTGTTACATAATTCAAGATTGCCAGCAAAGATACAGAAAAAATCGTTTATCCGTCGGGAGAAAGGACGTTTAACCGTGGGGCTAATATGTGACGTGCACCAATACGCATTGTAAATGTAATGCAGAGTTCGGTTAGTTTGCGCTTTTTATCTTTCTTTGGAAAGTCAAACGCATTCTCTGCGAGCGGCTGTCCTCAAAAAAAGTATGGCGGCGCAATTTGAAAGCATTCCAAGATTCGGGAACCGATTTGCTGTAAACTCCGCACCGTATTTTTATCGCTGTACGAATTTAAAACTTCTACTAACTTGATCAGATTTAAATGATTTTGTATCTATCACAGGCGGACAAAGACACAGTGGTTTGGGTATCAACTAGACCGCCATTCAATCTTCAATTCGTAATTTCAACAATATATAACATTTTGTTGTCAATAACAAATAACATCTTGTTTGTCCGTGGTTAAGTAAAAAACTGCATCTTTAGAAAATTTATTTGTTCATAGCCACGTGTTAATAGAACCTCATTTTCATGATGGTAGTTATCCAGACGAGCGGAGTCTTTCAGACAGAAAATACACATATGGTTCTGCTATCCCAGTCGCTTCAAGAGGCTTCAAACTAAACACGTCTCATGTGCTAATATCTAGATCACAAGCCCGACCCCCAATGCGGCAGTTCATTTATTCCAGTACACACTATTTCAATGGCAAAGGGTTTCACAGCAAGTTTTCCCCCTTGACGTATTTCAAGCGCTTTGTAAAGCTGCCACTGGCTACACGCCGGCGAAGACCGAATGGCGGAACATGTCTGATTACTGCTCACATGCCCCCTTTGTACATAAACACATTTGACATGAAAAAGCAAGTAGGTAAGAAGTGTCGAAAAGCAGAAAGAAGGCTTAGTTTTGATGTTTTGAATATAATTTTAGTTCAAAAATGCAAAAATGTCCGTTAAAAAGACGTTTCGCACTTTGGGTCGGCGTAGGCTTTGTCCATATGAAACTGTTGGTGCGGGATCAGGATGTAAATACGACAAATAGTGTACCCCCATGGCTCCCAATTCTCCCATACATACAATTGCAGCCGCTCCCTAACCCCACCAATTATTGATGTTACTGTATATATATTTAACTAGCATCTAACTGAGTACACGACAGTCGTGCTCGTGTGCCGTCACAAGTAGCTTACACGAACAACAGCGTACAAATGTTTTTATCGAATCGATTAACTTCTAAAAGTGATGCCCACATATCCGTTCAGCCTCTGTTATTACTGCACATATAAAAAATATGTCATTGAGGCATCTCTCTACAGCATGGCACAGTTAAAGCGATTGTCCGAAAACGGCAGTTGTTCTCGCGTGAGTAGAATAGCCGTTAATGAGATGTTTTTGAAAATTTAGCTTTTGCTTCTGTTTATTGATCAATGAGTTGAATGTTTGAAGATCGTTACATGGGACAACACTCGTTATATTTATGCGTTCGATCAACTGAGCCGCTTCATTCCAGACGTAGGGGATGGTGAGCGCTTATGACTGTGTAATAGCGTACGTACGCTGACCGCATAGCGCTCGCCACGCCTCCGCGTTTGTATCTGGACGAGGAAGAAGAAGGTGACGTGTAAAAAAGAGAGACTATAAGGTAATTAAATACCGAAATTTTACAATAGACTTCGTGTACTCGATGACAAAACAAACTGTTTGGGAACTATATTTCCATAAGGCAATGTAAATTGAAAGATAATAAATTGGCAAAGCGGACTTCAGCTCTAGTGGAGATAACCTAAATGAAGAAAAACCAATAAATGGATTAGGTACGCATCCCTCCGAATTAACATTTAAATACATGATAACAAAAACAGTGCGATCGAGCTAACGAAGCGTTATTACGATAATACAATTTAGGTTTTTTTTTTCTATATAAGCTTAGTTGGTATTTGAGCAAAAACAATTTAGTGGTCTTCTTAGCGATGCTGCCTAATGTACAGTGGCGTGATTGCTTTCTAGTGATTTTGGATATTTTACCGTTGATTTGAATAAAAATAGTTTTTCTTAGCGCAGCAGCAGTATCATACTTTTTTTAGTAAAGGCTGCTCGTTTAAGCCATGCTTTAAAATGTCGACCTCATTGATCACGAGAAACGTTTCGCATACAGCATAAACACCTGGCCGCCGCCCACGGTGCAGGTTCAAAGCTTTCGTTACTTATCCGATTAGGTATTATGCATGAACGGCATTTTAATGATACTGGACACAACCTGCAAAACCGAATAATAACCCTTTAAAGATCGCAAAATTGGTCGTTCTTTTATTTCAATCGAAATTCGTTGCTGACATAAGCGAAGCGGTGCGCTCCCAGCCACGGTTACTTTGAGTTTTCGCTCGGTCGTTATATGACTCACGATTCCACGGTTCGTAAGGCTCATTAATGAAAATCACTTTACACCTACACACCTAAACACGCGGCGGCATTCAGATGAGCTTTCAATGAAACAACCGAACATTTTCTAAGCTGCAAATAGTTTCTTTACTTTTTCATTCGTACCACTGTCAACTAGAAATGAATCGTCATAGAACAGGCAAGGGACACAGAACAAGCTTATAATTTAATTCCGCGCGTAATTTACATTACAGAACATTTCTAGATTCAATCGAATACGTGACCTTGCCCGCGATAATTTTCTAATAAAGTTAGCGATGAACTTTTTGCGTTGTTACATCGTCCAGTCGACAACAATAGAATATTATATTTAGGCTTCCCTAGCTGGCTCAGGTCGTTCGGCGGATAGCTATAGCTTGTCTCGTTTGTTGCTGCCTGACAGTTGTGGCTTGGCGAAAGCAGTACCAAATGGGGTAAACTCGTTAGTGGAAAAATAATTTGTATAAAGTGGACAGAACCGTAAGCGGATATCTAAGAGACACGGGCGCCCGGGTGGAGGGGGGTAAGTCTTTACGGAAAGCCGTGTTCGGCCATATTGTAGCTTAGTGTGCGCCCCCTATGGGCTATACTTGTTCAGACCGATGTGCAAGGCAGCCTAGAAGCTGGTGTATCCCGTTGTCTTATTTCTACCTCTTGCCACACCGGTATAGTAGTTCTCGAATACCACTGAAGAAGGGCCCATATATCGAATATGTTGTTATTATTATTATAAATGTTCAATCGAGGATGCTTCACACCTTCTAGCTGTACGCGCTACTGGTGGCAGGTGCGTTCGCATTGCATGAAAAGCTTTTTCCTCTTTCTCTCTAATGGCCTATTACTTCCCAATATCAACAGTGCATCGAACTTTCCTACGAGACCGAGATTGCCGTGATGCTGGTATTAGTCTATGGTACGTTAGCATAGAATAAATAACGGTAAGAGTTTTCCTAAAAGCGCCCTTAAGACACTCATCACTCATCGTTAATGGCAATTCTAGAGTGCATCAAGTCCTCATGAACGTTTATTATTATTCGGATAAAATAGTAGAGGTAAAAACAAACAAATAGCTACAAATACAGATTTTAAGAAATGTGTATGCACACACAAGAAGTTGAGTTTGGGATAAAACGGTAAATATGGCTGACGGGGATTCGGTGATCGGTACGAGATTCTCTATATACATGTATACACAAATGTATGTGATGTGTACGTATCTATCTATATTTGGGTCGCTTGGATTAAGGGAGAACGGCCGCCGGCATGGGCAGAGAGAGCTACTTTGCCGCGTTTCGAAGGTAAAACACATAGACGATAGAAAAGTAAAAAAAAGCAGAAAGAAATAACCTATAATCGGTTTACAAGGACGGATCTAAAAGACCCCATATATACACAGATGTAAACGTTTATCTTTCATATATTGTGTTTTCCAAAAATTAGTAACCGTCCTTAAGCTAAACTTGAAGCAAATATTTTGCCGAAGTAAATATGCGCTATTTTGATCGATCACTCTACTGCAATTTTTCATGTGACGCCATAACCCCAATATTGGAAAACTTCTGTGGTTTCCTGTTGTGAAATTGTGACAAATGATTTTTGTATTTTTTTTTTTATCAAAATTAAATTACCACCCTTAAAGGAGCCCTGCAGAAATCAAAGCATCCGACCGTCCGATGGTGTAAAATCCAAGCTATACGACGGGTGCTCTAAAATTCCCAATTCATGTTCCCTCTTTTTTGCTCACTAGTTAAAGATGTGTATGAAATAGCATATCATGATAAGAAAACGGCATCTTTTCAGTTTAAAAAGTGAGATTCATTTTTTGCAATAAAACAAATATATCTATTTTTAAAGTAGAGTCCACCATTTCGTTAAGCGGCAGCATCTCACAATCCGCGATTTGTTTCCAGTCCACTTTATTTGATCTCTGTCTGGTGTTTTTGTACAGATCTTTTTATTTGCGCATTATTGACGTATGTGAGCCACTTTTCTTCATCCATCATCCGTGATCAGCCGTCTTCGTTAGGTTCCTATAGAATTCCGCAGATAGAAATACGATTGAGTAAATTGTTTTGCGTTCTGTTCCACCCAAATACCGAGCTTTTTTGTAGCCAGCTTTCTTCAAACGGTTTCAAATTGTTTGATGGTCGATGTTTAGTTCCTTAGCGATGCCCTAGCTACACACCCACCGATCTTGTTCGGCTATAACATCAATTTTTTCCATAATTGGTAGATCGCTGCGGAGCGCATCTTTCACGTCGAAATTCGCAGAGGAAAAGCGACGTCCTGACAGCACATCTGTACTTTTTATTATTTTATGGGCCTCCTCGGCAGACTTTGCGCATTTATCGTGACAACTGTAAAGTGGAGTGAATGTTCGCTGAAACTTCACTTATCCTCGAGGCGCTCTACTTTAAATCTGAATTAAGTATTGCAATAATTTATTTATAATACATATCAGCTCTCGAATGACGCTAATGTCGGCCGGACCCGACTCACATTACCTACCGTATAGGCCATAAAGCTAGAGAAACGGCTAATACTTTTTCGTAATATTATATATGGTGTGTACTGTGGGTCGACACGAAAATTGCCTAAGTCAGCTTGTCCCACAAAAAGCCTCTGTAATGGCAATATAAATAGGCTTATGTATATAGGTGACAATGCGGAGCTCGTCAGAGGAGCTCTTGACGAGAGCTCTACTCGTTATTATGTTCTTGCATGGATACGTAAACGTCAATGTAAGCAAATGTAAAAATACAGTCCTATGTTGGAGGATGGTCGTAGAAATTATAAAGGTACAACTAAGTTTTGCGCATCGGTATGCCGCCTGGTCTATTTCAAAAAAAGGGGCCTTCAGGCTACGAATAAGGCTAGCGTCGCTCCCTTTCTTTCGGTGATCGTTGACTTATCCGTCTCTCCATCCCCTATCTCGTCCATTCTCCCCTACCATAAACAACCAGTGATCTGATTGCATAAACCCATCCACATTCCAAACAGCTGCCCTAATTGATGAAAGTTTTTTTTGAAAAGGGTACAGCAGTGGTTTGACATTAACAGGGAAGCAAACAACGACGACGATGCTACTTCAATTCACCGACACTTTCGCCACCACTCCCAGAACGGCACAAGTGCTACCGCTAGTGACTTTTGCTGTTTCGGTTAGGCCGCACGAGCGGGGCAGGCTGTCACAAAAATGGCTTAGGCACAAAGGGCGAGGGTGGGCGAGAGTTGGGTTTCATCGTATCAAACCGAGTAAATATTCGTAGCACTTCGCGTTTATGGACTTGTTTTTCGTCTTCAGTTTGCCACTGCGGTCGCTGCCTCTATAAACTCGAACGCAAAAGTTGAGATGGAGTAATGACGCCAAGCTGCAGGCTTCTTGTCACTGGGTAGGTCAGACCGTCAGCTTTTTTTTAAAACGTGTTGGTGCTATGTCTAGCAGGAACATGTCTGTTCTTACCTGATACGAGAGCAAAGAGCATAAAAGACTATGATAAAACAAGAATATATATTAAATACTTCATTAGAAAGTCAAGAATGTATACGCAATGTGTGTCCAAGGATTTTTTTTTGATTCTCTGTATATATTGTTACAATGCGTACTAATAATTATTACTACTAATAATACTGAGTGCTAGAGATCTTCATTGATGTCGATATGTAAAGGTGAACCGTTGAGCAAAAAAATCTCATTTTTTAGTGATAAGCTACCATTTCTTAACTACTCAAAAACTACACAATGGATTAACATTTTAGAGCCTGCGACGGGCGTCTACAGTTGACCTCAAAATGGGCCTGTTGATGGTTTATAGACTTCTACCAGACTCGACTTAACCCTGGTTCGAATCGATTGTCAGTAGGACAGACACGTGAGATGTGTTTAAAGTTTGCCTATTCGGGCAGGAACAGCAGGGGCAAAGTACTACGAACGCATTCGAAATGATGAATGATACCTGTGCGCGTTCTTCCAGATGAAATAATTTTTGCCCCAATGCGACGAGTGATCGTTTCAATTCAAGGCGTTTTTAGGAGACGTTAAAAAATCGTGCCAGTGTAACATCGTTGTAAATAGCCTTAGTGGAAAATCACCGATGGGCTTTACGGGCCTTGCCTGATTTGCACGCGGACAGCAGTATATCAAGTTATGGACGAAGTCGAATCGTCGACAAGGTCAGCTGGGGTTTACAATAAGCGCAGAAGGCAGATAAGCACACGGCTGTGATGTGCAGAAGCGTCCAAGTTACATCCCAGAACAGAGCAGAAGCCATATTCGAAGCATTAACGTACTACGGAACAAGGTACCAGCTCGGACGTAAAGCCCTGATGATGGCCATTATGGAGGTCAAAGGCGCTGATCCCTCTACTGCATTCATGTTGCTAGAACGCAGTATAGAAATTTCTTTTTAAACGAGATTTTTGCTGGGATTAACGAGAAAAATTTACTAGGTACCAACGCGTCACAAAGCTCCTGTTTCGAATTAAAGGTAACAATGTGCTTTTGCATAGCTCGCAAACCCAGACTCAAGCCATAGTCATATTCTGTCATTAAAAGAAGACGGACGGACATGCCGGAATTTAAAAAACTGTGCAGTGGTGGCGAAACCACATCCATCCTAACCCCCGCTTAAAGAGGTGGTATCTAGGTGTGAAGTTTGCAGGCCTCTAAAGTCGAGGCTTCGTGCGTGTATTTTAAAGCCTACTTCTATTTATTTCAAAATCTAGCTCCACGTAAAATTGACGAGGCCATCATAACAGGCCAGGGAAGCAAACTGTAAATTCTGTCAACTCCGGATAATTTGTTTTTATTTTTGTTTAATTTTTGCCTTGGAACCAATTCAAATGTTTTCTGATATGTTTCTACACCAAGTTACACTTAGGTTGCGGTAAGTTCTACCACCATGTTTTCGGCTTCTCTTTATCACTATGCAAGGCTAAACGTTTTGCGTTAATAACTGAAGTGAACGAATTATTGTATGGAAGAGCATATTTTTTATAAGTGAAATTACTCTGTCATAGAGCTTTTCTCAGTTGTTACACCCTTCCCTCTCATTTTATGATCAAAGAAGCACCCGAAGCGTAGATTCGACAAACGTGAATAGCATTTAACAGCTTATCATTTCATTCATGGTATTAAGGTTGACCACCGAGTCAGGAAACATTTAGCTTTGCCGCTGTAAAAGTATTTCCGCGGTCGTCACTCTTTATTCCAAAATCCGTCACAATCATTACTAGCTTATCCATCTCAAATATTCGTGTGCAACAGCTTGGAATAGTCTCTCATTGTCAACATGCATCGTTGTAAAGGCTCGTTTACAGGACTTGGAAGAGAGAAACTCCCCCCCCCCCCCCGCTTGGGAGGGAAAAATATGCGATGAAGAACGACATACATGACACAACCGTTATATTTATTCTGTACGACAGTATTCGATGCATAATACGTATTATATAGCAATGGCGAATCTGTGTATAAAAGAATATGAAGCTTCTTTACTTGTTGGTTTTAGGCCTAGATGGAAAATTAATTCTCCCCTACCCTAAACCCGAAAATCTAAATGAGGAGTTAAATATGTTTGTTATGCGCATTGATCTACTTGATAATTAATATCTGCTAAAAAGCTTTGAATCAAGATTTGATCGCGGCAATGTAGTATCAACGAACGGACACAACCATAGTGTGACAATCGATTCTAACGGTTTCTAGCTGTGTTCTGCTATTATCGCTTCTGCTGACGTGTTGCCTGCCTAGAAGCAATAGAAAAGAAAGTCATATCCTGCATTTGCACAAACTTTCTGCCGGTGTCACCTAAAAAAACCTCAACTCTTGAAAGGCCATGAAGCCCTTATCAAAAAGTGCAACGCGAACGATATATTTTAATGGTGTATTATTGAACAAATCTATTATGAATTGAGTGTCTCTTCAAATGCCCTTAGCTTTAACGATGAATATAGGTATTTATCTTTCAGTACCACCTATTTACTATAAAGTTCATATCAGCAATTTTAGCATCGGGTTCGAAGAGATAGTTCCTTTAGTTGATAGTAGTTTTCGCAACAGCTTGCTGGCAACCTCTGCCACGTCGGATCATTTTTAAACGTTCTCTATTGCGCATACGGAGTTGTACCGAAAACGTCGATGATAAGGCAGTTGATGTCAATTGCAGCTGATGTCTTCAAGAACCCGATAGATCGTTCGGCACGTCTGGGGACGCGTATAGGAACGACAAGACATTGATTTCTATGCCAACTAGTCCCATTTCGCTCGCAGGTAATGAAGCACCTCTTATCGAAAAGCGTTCATTGATGCAGTTGGTCAGTTATGAGTATCTTATTTATGTTTCGACCCAAGTCTATTGCTGAAGGAGAAAATAGACTCATCAAATAGTCTTTCTTTTGAATACAAGATGCATCATAGTAAATGGATTCTGGTATAAATGAAGTTAGAAAACAATCTTTGTTCTGTGTTCTGCACTAAACTTGCCCAGTGGCAACTGCTGTTGTTATTTTACTAAATACGTACAAATTAACGCCTAATAAGTTGTCCCGGAGCTCATCATAGACTAAGGAGTAAAATTCTTCTAACGTACATTTATTGTTCCGACAATTGTTAAACGGCCATTTTCCGGCCGGCTTCCGCCGCTCAACCATTCGACTGTCTTAAGACCAGCGAGAACGAGTCAAACGCTTCGTATTTATTGACGAGGCATCTTTTCAGTAATGATTTATTCCTTCTCTTGCACGACACCTACTTCAATCCTTTCTTTCGCACGTTTCTTTTTCAATTCTTTCGACAAGGGATGAAGAGCCATTGGAGAAAACTGGTCGAGGGCTCCTGAAGCCCCAAAAATATTCATGTCGCATTGTTTTCTTCAACTCGTATCTTTTCCAAGGCCGTTATTGTTTCTCCTTTCCCTTCTATTCCATATCTCGTGGACTTACAACGGTTTCTTCTAAAAAAAGCTTCAATTCAACCTGCACGCTGCTCACGTTAGCTTCTTCAAATCAGTGCTCGCCTCTTCTTCTCAGTCGCTTGGTTCCGGCCTATTGTTGTAATGTACACAGCCTGAATCGGTCACCTTGAAGTGAGAAACGATCGTTTAATAGTGCAATGAGCCGTGCAAACAGCGCAAGCATTAGACAGCTCACGCTCACAATAAATTTGATCGTGTTTCTCTAAATATAAGGCTTGAAAGAGCTGCTTCCACGACACAAATAAAAAAAAAAAAAAAAGGATGAATCTTATCAAAGAACACATACTACAAATAATTTTTTCGCCACCCTTGTTCGTACGATTTGGTACAAACAATCGAAATTTCTTGCCGAAGATTAAGATAACTAAGATTATAAACGATAACTTTACTTTTCCACTTTTAGACAGGCGTCCACACGTGTCGGTCAGGAACACTAAATCACAAACATACTTTTGAGTAAATAAGAAAGTACAAGATAGTCTTTTTCTTTTAGATTTAAGCAATTCAAGATTGCCCTCAAATGGATAAGCTCAGATAATTGTGATCAAATCTTCGGCATCTACGTCCATTTGACCTTGCGTACGTTGAGTTTTTATGGTTGTTGTTAAAACGTTGTTACGGAACCAATCCAGCTAAAAGCCGTTGTCAGAGAGTCGTTTCTTATTTATAAGAACGAGATCTAAATAAATTGCATCTTACTACCTTCAGTGGCACGGTGTCAACTTAGTTAAAAGCAGATTAACAGAAGGTCTTAACAACATTAGAACGGTAACAGCAGGTCTGTCTTCTGTGTACTTTTGCTAAAGACTCGTTACGCAAACGTTCCTAAGCGCGTGTACTCCCGGATAAGTCAGCCACTCACCGTTGATGAGCACCTCAGCAAGACCAGCCTTCATGCAAGCCCTTTGCCCTGTTAGAAGCAAATGATAAACATTCAACATAAAGGGACCACTGCACGATATAGCTGTATGTACATTGTTCAAGTCTATGCTTGTTATCTTGTCCATAGAAAGGAATAAGGATAGTTAATCGATCCACTAGAAACGTCACAAATGGTTATTTCGAAAAAGGGCCGAGTGACAGATGAGTGGGGAACTAACCATTTCAGAGTGAGCATCTAAAGGATAACGACTAGAAGAAAGTTTAGTTCACCCACATGGCCGGTCAAGTGGATGACGACTGAGGCCTCGTCCTGCGTGCCTCGAGGGTTTAGGGCGCCACAAAGTAAGCCCACTACATCTGTGGCCTTTCAAAAAAAACTTACATACACGTTAACACTCATAGATTCTATCTAGATATTGAAATAGAAACTAGCAGCGTGCTCGACTGGGTATAGGTAGTATCTCCCACCGGCCTTTGGGCATAATCCGGGCTCTTGCCGTCGGCTGGAAATATGTTGCGCGTGAACCTTCGGATTCCGATTGCTTTCTGTTTGTAGTACTGCGTCAGAAATTGGTAAAATCTACGTTTGCCATGAGTGCTATATGGCATTCCGGCTAAACAAGTCGTAACAGGTTGGTAAGACGGCGAACAGCCTTGTCTATATATATATACATACATATATATATATATATATATATGTGTGTGTGTGTGTGTTTGTATGCGTGTGTATCTGTGTGTGAGGGCCACGGGGTAGTGTGCTGATATTGTGTCTTCCACTGAAGCATTCATTCTTCAATCTGTCTTCTATTCTTCCCTTATTACAGGCTACAGCTGCTGCAGCAACTGGCTAAGCGGAGGCTAGAGGCCACAACTGTGAGATAGTGGTTCGGCTGAGTCCTTCTTTCACGCGTATTTTTCTGTGACTAACAGCCCGCAAGTCAACGGTGGTATTATTAATAGATATATGGCATTTACTTTCGGACACTTTGCCGTTGGAGGCCATGCCGAGAGTGCAACAGAGCACTGAGACCTCATTCAAATACATTTGTAAAGCACACAGTTACAAATGCACCCATAGATATGCATGAGAGCGCTTTTCAGACGCATAGGCTGTTTCATCGCTATCTGCGGAAAGGACATAATTCCGCTCAAACTGAAAGTGTCATTTAGCTAAAATAAGAGTGGTAGATAAAGACGGAGAGGAGAAGCTGTGTGGGTAAAAAGACAAAAAAGCAAAAGTATAAGATATTTATACTTGAAGGACAACAAGCATTTAAATTGGACAATGAAATTAAGGAGTACTTTTAAGATATCTAGCGATGTTAACAATAGTCTTGTTCGTTAGCCTATCGAGCTACATATCTCTAAGGCGAAGCTTTGAACTGTCTATCGGGCCAATATGATTATATACGTTTCACATCTACCTAAGTACAACTATCAAGAAATATATGTCGGTTAAAAAGCTTTCGATGGCATCGTTGCTAATAAAACTATCATTTTTCATAATTGCTACTTATTTACGTGTCATATTAATTTCTGAAAACTGGAAACGAAACCTTGTTTGCTCTCAACCAATTTGCTTTGCTTGAGTGGTAGCTTTCTTGCCTTTCAGCCTGCTAAATTGACACGCTTCCTCTCAAAGTTTGTTCTAGCTGGATGTACTCGACAACGATACCTTGCTCCCTTATGAATACTTCTTCTCTCACAATTGTAATTATCTTTGGACATTTATAAACGTTAATCATGGAATGACTAGTTAAGCACTTACTAGTAAAAAGGCGGTACGTGGGACCGGGGGTCTGAACGTCACCGTTCCGCGCTGTGACGCTCTTAGTATCAGGAGAATGTGAGGGCTAAATACGGACGACATAAGTAGTTTGGCTATGATGGCAGCCGCTCGCATTGAGACCAAGAAGAAGTCGAGATTGCCGGACATGCACCCGGAGACGAAGATGAGACACGTTCAACCAAGACAGATCTCTCCGCGTGCTCCTCTAACCGGAAATACCGATCCTTCTCCCTATCCAAGATCCCTTCTCCTTCTGTCAACCGCTACCACTTTTGCTGTCGCTACTTTATTTCACCGAACTTCTGATGATAGAAAAAAGAACAGCTGAGAACATCTCAATTCAGAACAAAGAAGAAGTAGTGTTTTTAAATATTTCCTGTGCTTTACCCCATTTAAAAAAATGAATGAGCACACCGTCTATATGCTGTAGGAAGGCAGTCTGTAGGAATGTCCGCCTAATGGATCAGTGCATCCAAAAAGGAAGGGGGTGGAGAACTAGAGAGTAAAAAAGAACTAAGAGTTAATTTACTTTCACTAACGTTATATTCGTCATAAAGACTAAGCCGTATGTAGCAGCCATTTTATATTCGCTAATTATTCTAGTCTAACAGAAAGAACAAATGATGAACTGAAAAGCGGTAAAGGGGCTCTCGCACACACGAATACTCTTCACAGACACACATTCTCTTACCCACAGGCACGCCCTCAGACACAACGACATTGACACGGCCGGGGGCTGCAGCAAAGAAGCTTTAAGTGGCTCCAAGTCTTGACGAGCGTTTCGCTAGCGAGCTGAACTGGTCCGCAAGCGCTGTCATATGACAAAAAAAGACAGCTGTCTCTTGGTGATCCCATTACAGCAATGAGTTATAGGCAGAGATTTGCCCTCAAAGAAGCAGCTTATATGCTTTTTTGCCTGCCTATTCTGGCTTCTTGTCCTCTCTCATTCATCATGGAAATGTGCTACTAACATATATATTCAGATGTTTGAAGAACCGGCTACTATCAAGAAACATGTAGATATAGTTGCCTTTTCCGAGCTATCCGTCTATACATATATATATATATATATATATACGGTAAAATGGACAGACACCTACCCCAAACAATATCGCACGCTGCTGCCAATTACCTTCGATAGACTACTATTTATAGACTATAAGTGGCAAGCAAAAAAAAGTTCACAGGAAAGCATTTTTTTATATTTACTCATCCTAACATGTGCATTAGTAACTCTTTACTTGGGTTCGACTCAGGCTTAATCAGATCTAAATTATACTGCGATAATACAGTTAGTTCTCTGGCACATTTTCACACCTTTTGAGCATACTAGCGTCCTTCGAAGCCGCATTTGCCGGGAACTAAGATATAGGATGACGCTTAACATCATTGAGCTGTATACTTAATGTCACCTAGCAATTTTGCAACCGTCTTGTACAGTTTTAGGAAAAGTTAATCAAATATGCTCTTCTTAGGAAATCAACGTTAGATAAAACAAGCGTTTAAAGAGACGACGAATGCATTCTACAAGGCTGTCCAATTGATTCTTCTTTGAGAACCGATATTACTGATATAAAGCAGAATTGAGCAAATTAACTTATTACGCATATACTCGATGTTTTTGCTTGAAGTCTGTTTTTTTCTATCACTTTTCAAGTTTAATAGATTGCTTGCCATAGCGACCTCTGGCGGATGAATAGAGCTGACTCATGGCTTAGCTGTGGCCCATTTTTCGAAAAAAAACAACAGAGAGAAGAAAGTTGATCACCTCCATAGTAGGTTATGTATATCTATTTTTTCTTTCAAGGTTTGGAAAGAAGTGACAGCCATATGGCTTTCTGCGCGTCCTCTTTGTGCAACCGATGTGTTATAACAGTAATGGTAACATGCTTACCTAAGGGGAACATTCTTACTTCAAGTTCATTGTTAAGCTTACTCTGACCCGGGTTTACACGGGATACAACGGCATTTGTCTGGTTATTTCGGCTCGACAGATAAATGCCCGACACGAAATGACAGACACGAGCTTCTTTATGCATTGGTGCAAATCCCAAAGTAAAAGATGTAGGCCGTATCACGCGCATTTGTCATATTGACCTGCTGCGATTGAAGGTTTACTATGTGATGAATAATGTTCAAATGCAGAAGTGCGTGTTCGACCATCATAGCCCACTGCGATTATGTTTTGAATTCAAACCAAGTTCAAGCTGGAACGTCTTTCCACGTATGTTCCAGAGAAACACCGAAGCTTATGTTCTACATACGATACTAAGCGTGGAAAGGAATTCGCTCATACAACCAACGCGCAATGCTGCTCCTATCAAATTGGATTTGTTTTATATACGAGAAATAATTGTACTGATTGTAGATCTTTGAGGTTTTGCTGGTAGCCGGCTTGAAAGAATTGAAATTAGAGTACGAAGGTCTGCGATGCGCCAACACTGCGAAGAAAAGTGGTAGTAATTATAAAAGCTGGACAGTTGGAATCGATCTACTCACGATCTTTCTCCAGTAAACTGATTAGTAGGTTTAAAGCCTACTCAAAATAGAATGAATATGCAAATGTTACCTAACAAGGTAACCAGTCTATTCTATTAGATTGTTAATTACGTATGTATATGCTCGTTTACAGAGCATATGTTAATGTGGATCTGGTGCTTCATCTACTAGGCAGAATGGGTGCAAACATAGATGAAAAAAATCCTTTTCTCAATATAGTCACGTACACCGGCCTTGATTGCGATACACATCCAGTTGCCTGTAAGACAGCACCCAACTCTGCAGGGGAAATAAACAGCAGAATCCTCATACTGTCAGCAGACGAAACGAAATATCTGCAAATGACAGAAGATTATTTCCATATTATTGCGCCAGAAAGATAGCAAAAAACGCAACGAAAAATGTTTACACAGAGTTTGAAGGCTTAGCCGATGGAGCCTAACATGTTGCTAGTAGCCTCGTAGATTATTTTCCTTCTTTCTGTCAGCCGGCTGCGACGTGCAATGATAAGGATAGGATCCTCCTACAGTTCTGCTCTTGTCACTATTATGGCACTTCTGAAGCCCTTGTTAGAGGTTCCTAGTAAAACATTTTACGATTATCCATAAGTAACCACTCGTTTTAAGCCATTCATTATATTAAAAACCGCCACCACAGATTACAGTGGTGTTTTCAGAGAGCGGTAAGGACGTCAGAGAAGAACACTGCTGTAGAAAGCAATAGGACATGCTGCCAATGCAGCTATTTTCAACTACCCTCGGATTTTATTTTGAGGAGAACATATTTTATTATCACTCTTCTAGGAATACGTCGATGGAAGCATTTGACATAATGAATTTTTCTTAGTGTCAATGATAGCGTAGGAATTTGACATTGATTTTCTGAAACTGGAAATTATGAACGGCAGACAATTGTACTGCAGGGTAAATCCTTGATATCCAGCCCTATGCATAGATGTTAAAAGGACTTGTTGTAAAGTACCTACAGTTTGCCTTTAGTTCGTGCATCGTATCTGTTTTATTCATGCTATTTACCATACAAAGCAAATACTATTTATAAGTGAACAAATTAAAAAAGCTTACTACCAATACAATACGATGTCTGACGACGTTTTTGACAATGGCAATAACAACTGGCTACTGCAGCGCCCGCGGGCATCCTCCTATGCCTATGCCTGACATCGATACTCACGTGAAGGTTACGCAATTATGTATTAGATGTTCACTTAAACTCAAGATTAGGTTAAGCATTTGCGCTAATCATGTGCGGACCTGCATCTGCAGTGGATAATAGCAGACTGAAATAAACGGATAGAAGAAAGAGGTTTGAGAACACAAGGAATGGTGCCTTTCTCGTGCGACACGTGCCACAGACGATTGTAGATCTACTGCAACTACAAAACAGTGGTTCTCGTTTGACTTTGTTGCATTTAAAACAATGCAAAAACGTGTAGGAGACATAAAAAGCTGAAGGGTATTGTGCGGTCATATATATCTACCGGAAATAAAAGCCCGGTGCGCTATCACGCGAATTGTTCCAGGTATGCGTTTAGAGTTGCCATTTGCTTCCGCGAATGTAACACTCTGTGTCGCCGACCTAGAGGGGTTCTAATGTGCCACGACGAGGTCATACCAAGCGCGAGTTGGGCTGGCAGCCATACTTGACGCAAACGATATACGACCATGAGGGCAGAATTACGCTACATTGGAGTAAACGAAATTCAACTGTCAACCCAGAGCTAGTCCTATAACAATCGCATTCCTCAGCATATTAAAGCATTCAAATGATAGACAGGTCACTATCTGTCCGACTGCTTCTCGGGTCTTGTTAAGCACATCGCTACGACCTAGTTTCAGCGTCGTTCTCCGCTGTCACATGAGTTTTTCCGTGAGTTGTCCAGCGCTTTCTGCGAGTATGCCTAACCTCGACATTCAATACCGCCTATACAACTCCTACGCTTTTAAATAACGGGCATATTTTACAGCTGTAATCCGGATTTTTACATTTATTATTCGATTTAACATTCGGTTGTGACATAGAAACAAGTTGATCCTGTATTTTGAGCAAAATAGGTTGCCATTCATTAGTCGCCAAGGTAGGAACGAATACATTTACCTCCGAAAATTCACGAAAGTTAAAATATTTGCATTCAGTCTATGTTGAAACGTTTGCAACATTGTAGTTTTCAACACAATGAATTATTGCTAGGTAACTGCTGTAGATGGTCTATTAGATCCGCTAGTTCGACGATTTTTGTCGTATATTTTCACACATTGCCATATATATATATATATATATATATATATATATATATATGAAAATAAATAAGTGAAAGATATATATATTTCATTCTTAGAAACATTCTTAGAAAGAAAATAATAAATAAATATAACAAGGTGAGACACTTAAATTGGTAATTTTGATATCTTTTTCATAAATATTTCAACGAATGCTAGAAGTGTCGTTCCTAACGGTGATTATTCAATACAACTCGCCGCGATTACAGTTTCAGTTAGCGATCTAAACTACTCACTAAGAGCTTTTACCTTTTAATAGTAACAGTACGTTAAGCGATGTTGGTAGGTATCAACTTGATAAGGTGCAAAAGACTAACTAGTGGAGCTTATCTGGATAAACCCATCAGAAATTGATATTCTCCTTTCTATAAAGGAGATTAATTTCTGAATCAAAAATCGGGGTGCATAAAAGATCGATTTGCAAACCCTATCTAGAAACTTAAATCTAAAGAACCTTCCGATTTCTTATAGGAAAGATTTACTTGGATTTTCCAAAGGTCACATAAAAACAGGCAGTAACGTAATCTTGTTGACAGCCAATGTGACGAGTTTGTCTAGTAGGTGACATTTTTACAATCCCTAAAAGGACGTACTGTTTGTCGCTGTGGCGTCCTTTTCCTTCTCTTCTAGAAAAAAACAGCTTACATGTAGTACTAGGAATAGCATATGAACGCAGGCCTTCTTTAACAAGTGATGTGGCAAAGTTTACTCCCAGACTTCGTGCCGTGTACTCCCTATATTCATGAGTTTATTTATATGACAAGAGACGAAGGGTTCAACTTTGCAGCTGTTATCAGCACGAAGCTAAATGCATTAATGATACTTTCACTGGAGAGCTGTGATTAAGTACAATTATTCCCTTCTGTACCATTCCTTTGCATGCTGAGGCCTTGTTCCGCTGCGGTGCACGACTGGCGCAAGTAGATGGCTCAAATTCTCTGCTAGCCTGCATAGTATGGAGAAGGTGACTTTTGTCATTGTTCTACAAGTCTTACGTTCTGGAGTACACAGAACCTGCCACTATCTCTACCTACTAAAGTAACATATTCAGTGTTAGCCTTTATATTGAAGGAGAACTCGCAGTAAGCAAGGACGTACACAGCGTCATCCCAGTCACATTTTCACTCTGCACTGAAATATCCTCATCTAAGCACCCCTCTAAATTACTCTGTGTCATTTGTAGAGATGCCCTTTCTTCCTTGCCCTACTACCACTCTATATAAGCTTCGTCTATATAAGGCTCTATATAGCTCTATATAAGGATCGTCCGGCGAAAAGCTCCAAGACGATCGAGAGAAGAGATGTTCAATCAAATTTGATGTTCTAGTCTGACAGGCATTGGCGATATCGTGCGTGCCCTAAAAACAGCAAGGCCTTCTCACTCGCATCCGACCGGATTTTGCTTTACTCTCAGGGCGCTGTTGCTGCAGAACAAGTGGGGGCTACCAACCAGCCTTACGCCCAGCGAATAACGAAGTCGTGGCTGTTTTTATGTTACGGATCGATCTATTCTCAATTTGAAGCGAAATCAGTTGACCCTGAGTCTTTGTTACTGGCAACCGCAGAACGAATTTCGCCCAAAAATCCAACAATCATGCACAGATCAGCAATCGTACATGTAAAATAACTGAGACACGACTTTTTAATTCAAAACCCTTACGTACATTCCTACACTCGTGTACGTAACATATTTGTGACATTCGACTAGCTTTTATGTAGAGGTTTCTCTAATTTCTTCTGCTAATTTAATGAGATAATCAACCTATAATTTTTCTCTGGCCTAGAAAAAAAATGTATCGCACATGCTGTGTTGCATATTGTGTGTAGATAAAAAGTAAGTGCTGCTTTCGACGCTTTCATGCTTTTAGATTTACCATAATTTTGAGAACATAGCTAGAACGATTTAGTTACATCGTCATTGCAATTCTTCTTTGAATACAACGTATCTATCTATCTATCTATCTATCTATGCGTTTTACATTACCTCATTTGTCGTTGCTATATTCTTGACGAAGCTGCTTATCCGGACTTGTTTATACACGCTCTCACGGACTTGTTTATGACTCATACACTGCATAAGAATAACGAAAATTGTAATAATAATTAAAGCGAAAAAAAGGTAAAAAGGAGAGCATGCGTCCTAGCTTTTGTTGGAACTGTTAGTGCTGTATGGTTTCTGGTAAGCGGTGTACTAACCGTTAGACCATTCCATTGGTGGCGTCGTAGCAGACCTTCGACCTTACTCGATTCAGATGTCCGTGTAGCTTTGACGCGAGTAATTTTTTACATTTATTGCGGGTTCGACAGTATGTTCCACGCGATAAATGTTATGCTAGATAGTTCGACCTCGCTTTATAGCTGCAACATATAATGGGGCACGGTGAAGTTGGTATGCTCCCTGTTTCGAGTTTTGCGTCCGGCACCGCCGTTAGATATTCCATCAAACCACTTGATCTCAGCATCGTATGTCTATGCGAGGATTCGAACCTAGATCGTAACGTGCGAGTTTCCAATATGAACAGATAAATACGTTACGCAATAAGTTATTACGGGGACCATAGCCATGCTAGAGAGTGGCTGTACTGACACTAATCAACACCATACGATTTTTCGTCCTATAGGATGGCTAGCAGCTAAGCAAATGTGTATAATATAAGTTTATAGTTAAGTGAGAACAAACTTCCACTTAGATAAAAAAAAAAAGTTGCCTTCTAGTTCTAGATTCACTGATGATGGTTCAATTGTCGGGCTACATTTTGTAACATTTGCTCCCTTGTTGTTTCCAATTGTAAGTTTTTTTTGCTTCCATCCGTGTAAGAAAGTAACTGTTAACGGCAAAACCAGTATGTCGCAATAGAAACCGATAGTTACGATGTATTTGGTTTTTGCCTAAGAAAAATCCCACTAAAGGTTCATCTGTTGAAATTTCTGCGACAAGAAATCTGAGATTAAAAAAATCCACTTAAGTAGCATCTCTTTAAGAACCTCATATATTTACAAGGATATTTATATGGCACGCCAAGATTATAAGCACGCCATATATATTGTATTGTTTTTTTTTAATTCAATTTTCAGAACACCCATTTTGTTGTTTCATCATACATGACGTACGTTGGTCATATCGAGGGTGATTGGCCCAGAAAAAATAGACACTGATGGTAAATCCATGGTATCTGTCAATTTGTACCATGTGCCTCCTGAAACCACAAATTATTGAAATTTCGTTAGCGGAACATTCCATTGCAATTAGAATGATTGCATCGAATTATAGCAGAATATATGGTTTTTTTTTATGACGTAGTCATTTCATGCCATAAAAGCCATAGTCGCTCTGCTGCACCGCGTCTCTACAAAAGTGTATTAATCTGAAGTTGACTGAAACAAATGTCTGAATTGTGTAGATAACCACCTCGGATATTTTTTTCTAAAGTTTTTCCAAAATTTTTTCCAAAATCTTAAAATCGTGCAGCGACGCGTGAAAATGGCAAAAAAAGCAAAATATAGAATATGGTATTAGATTTTGTTCAAAATACTATCACTGTCTACTGCTGGAATGGAGATTTAAGTTTAGTCAGGGGAAATCGTATGATCATGAAATATGCCCATTGACCAGCATCGACAAAGTGCTATATAAATCTGATGCTGCTACGACCGGTTACTATGCATGGTTCTATCTGTTCGTGGATATTTCAGGTGAGTGGATGTTAATGGCGAAGTCATCTGCGGCTTTTTTGTGTGCTTAATGTGCTGTCATATATGGTGCATGTATAATGATATAGACCATATGTATGTGTGCATGCGTGGAGTCATATGTCGATGCGTTGAGCGTGAAACGCACGCATACAATATTTTCCTGCCTCCGATAGTCGTTCACGCTGCCGTCGGTAAGCGACTCATACGAGATCAACTTAGCACTATAGTATCATTGCTTCGAGACTGTTGCCGCTGCTATAATCGTATCATTGACCAGTTCATCCCATCTTCGGGTCGGCCAGGGGCCGAAGAGATAAAGTGCCTAAGGATTTAGACTAGAACGAAATCTCGATGGAGTGAGAACTCCGTAGGATGACGAGGCGGTGCTGCTGACTTCATACCACATCTACATCGATTGGGCCTATTGGCGAATAATATTTCTAAAATAATATCTGACTGCACTTTACACGTTGGGAGCATAAAAGGGGTGAGTTTACACATGCTTTCTGCGATCTTTCGATAAAAAGATTGCGAAATGCATGGGGGACATGGAAAACCACGCGATATAGACGAGAAAACATGGATCGTATATAAGAGGGAATGTGTGTTTGTCGTAACGATCGAGCTATTCTCGCCTTTTCTTCCATTTGTATACTACTATAGGTCATACGTTCCTGGTTATGGTGAGACTATAATTATTTGTTAAGTGTGGTATTCGAAGTTCGCATGAGGCGTAAGGACAAGACCGCTTACAATTTCTTTGTCTTATTGCCTCATCAGGATCGATTGCTCCTTGATGCCGATCTAGTATACATTAACTCTTCTACTTCCAGAAATTTTAAGAAATAGAGAAATATAAACCTGGCGGGATCTAAGAGATCTATTTTTCCAATATCATCACAATTTGCCTTGCAAGAGTGACGACCTACTAGCTTTTGTCAAACATTAGGAGATAGAAGTCATTGAAGTGGACTGATTCGAGTGTTATTGCGGACCAATCATGAAGGCGAACCGCCAAATTCGATGAACAGAGAGGACGTGAAACGAGGAGTACTTTTGGCTCGCTCTTTTTCTCAACGGGTTGGTACTTGGTTTCTAGTTTGTAGCCATCACGTATTTTGTCTTATTCGTGCTTTTTGGTGCTGGCTGTCCCATTGATCCCAGCTGCCTCTGGCTTCAGCCGAAGAGGCCTTCACAGCGTAGGTTCTTGTCGAGGCTAATTCTCCGTTGAGTTCTTTCGTCGAGAGGCGGTCGGCATACATACAACATAGTCCCGGGTTATGCTTTTCCCATTTCCCAGAACGAGCTGCCATGAAAAAATAACCCAGACTTTCTGTCATATCTATACATACCGATATTGTCATGGGCGCACATACTATTCAACGTATCAACAGACATTATTTCTTTCCTTAGAATGTTCACTTATATAGAACTCTATACATAGTAAGGTCTTCTTAAACAAGGCCACTTTCCTGTACCAGTGTTTGCACTGGATATTACCCTTTTGTATTGCCGTAGAGGTCGAAGGACAAGTATAAGGATATTAAATACATTTCAGAGATAAGTCTACGACCCAACTGTGGTATTTACAATCTGGGTACACACGGTTATGTCCATAATGCAAGAAATCTCATAAAACGACGAAACTAGTTTTCTTTGTCTGGTTGACCGGTGCCTTGGGAAATGCCTTTAGCGTCTACTAATAAGTAATGCGGTATAGAGAAATGAACGGTATAGCAACAAGCCAATAATGCTACGCAAACAAAGATCGAGCACTCGAATTTAGCGGAAGTCGTTTTTGCTGTGGTGGCAATGAAAAAAGTCTGTATTACTTCAGCGTGTTATTGTTTCTTTGAATGGAACGACAAGTTAAATGCTCCATATTGGCTGCCATCCACTAGAACACACTAGACTGCTTCGGCGGTCATCCTCCACCGATATGCGTAGTACTATTGCAACTAACGCATTTTAGTGGGTCTCGCAGTTACCATTGCTTATATGTTGTCCAATACAGAATATATGATCGATGACACGAGCAAGAATCGGATCTTGATACCTATATGTATTCGTCGCTCTTGTCTGAAACCAGCACTTATGTTCATTTTCAATACAGAGCTGCTGTACAAGGTTAAACCGTAGCGCGCTAAGGGATGGCCAGCAATCTCGTCGACAAACTTGTCAACGTATAGTTATTCATCTCAGAGTATGTCTCCCGTGTTGGTGTACATCTCGAACGTCTGCAATGAGATACGAATGGGCAGTGGCATTTTATTAGATCGAGGACGAGACAGCAAGTGTTAGCCTGGTTGGGGGTAAACGGGCTCGAGTAGAAATGATAGACACAGCGTTGTATTGCTACGCGAAAGAAAGCAAAGTTTTTCTGTGTCTGTTTAATTCACATAAGAATCTGACTGTATTGAGTAGTTAAGACGAAGGAGCGTGAGCGTTTAAACGGCGCTCGGTCGGACTGCATAAAAAGCAAATTTCACAGGTAGCGAGTGCTTTTTCGCTGTAGACAGCCTATACTATGGTACCTGTAATATCTACTGTATCTACGTAAATAGCTTATGCTGCTAATAGCTCAAAATGCTATCTGCACTTCACCAATAGCTATAGATAAACGCGCATGTTTATAATCACTGTGATAAAACTGGAACTTTTTTCCAATTAATATACTTAGTGATCGCCTATTATGCTTACATAATCATTTCGTATTGGTCTGTTCCTTAATAGGGTATACATAAAATAGCTACAAAATATTTTAAATATCTTAGATATTCCAGATAAGTTCGGCTTGATGTAACTGTAAGTTGCGTTACTCGGTCTATGTACTGGTACAGAAAATTTAGCTTTTAAATTCAACTCACCATGATTCAGTGGGCACTGCGAGATGCGGCAACGATTTGTGACTGACATCATTCATCTTGGACCCGCCAAATAGATTTTAAGCACACTATAAACTACTTTCAGATGGAATTATTTAATTAATCATATGTTCGACGAAAGCGTTCTTAGTGTCGAGTTAGCAAACAATGTCTACACCGTTCTACGAACAGCTCGTGTTCGCGATCGCTTCGCTGGTAGGCGATCGCCCGAGATACGTGTGAATTGGAAAATCAGTTCAGCTTTCCAGTTGTCCATCGTGTCATCGGCGTAATCGTCACTTTCATCGAGTAAATCATCGCGTTACGGCCATCAATGAGACCGTGTCCGGCTGCTTGGCTGCCCGTTGTTTTTCCGGCCTTGGAGCTCGAGCTCCACTGATCGCTCTATTTATTTTAATCCAGGATTAGTAGGAGCCCCCTCGCTGTCCCGACAAGACTGGAAGCATTCGTAGGTAATTCGTAAGTAATAAAAGCCCCGTCATTCTCTGCATTTGGTAGCATTTACTCATGCCTTTGACTGTCGCGTCCTTTCCTTATCTGGCCATGGAGAAGTCGCTCTCGACGATCGTAAACTCTTATTCTACTATTCTCTCCTCGCTACTTAGCGTGTGCCCTTGGCTATGCCAAATGCCCTGGCCTGTAGACTACACATGAGCTGCGCGCATATGCCCTATGGAGGAAAGAGTTGAAGACAACGATAGGAGTCCAACATGAACAAGAACCTATGCTTTAAGAGCAGCCGTTATAACGATATCTAAGAGGTATTTTGCCGAGCAAGAGCTGAAATGCACCGGACTCGCAATGTAGACCTTATCGCCAATGGAACGACTTAATTCATTCGTGGCAGCATGATGTTACCGGTATAGACTCTTAGTAGTAGTACCCGTGGATCTTTATTACGTATACAGTACGAAAAACGGCACAGCCAGCGTTGCGGTCCCTTCTCTCGACGGTGTCGTTCGTGTTGCTGTGGTGGTTGCTGCAACCTGCCTGGCACCGATAAACCAACATGACCGAGCCTAGACTCGGATATTTATAATAACAATCGCAGCCACTTTAGTTCCTCTAATTTTCAATGCACTTTCCTGTACTAAAGATAAGATTGTTTCAACAGCTGGTACTGCCGTCGATGGTCACGACAAGCAAGGCAGAGACGAATAGAATCAATGACTGGCATTCTATGGTAATAAATGCTAACGTTTGATTCCGAATCGTTCCTATGTGCCCTTCGACCATTCCTTCGCCCCTGAGTGAGGACTGAAACCGATGCCTACGATGAAAAAAGGAAGACAAGGAGGAGCGGACGAAAAATCAGGAGTAATAGACAGGGCTTGTTGTAACCAGTTTCAGAAACATATATCTTCACAAATAGTTTGCTAAGATGACACTCAGAATTGCTAAAGGCATAATCTACAATTGATTGACGTCGTTTATGAATAATGCAATAACACGAAAATGATCAGGCACCATAGGTAGCATCATACTTTAAAAATTAGGGTATGATAACTCGCATTTTTCGCGGGGTTTGAAAAATTTGTGCATAAACACTGCACTAATTAGTGTTTTCTTTTTTTAATCAATTGAATATGAAGCTGACAGCAATTTTACCTAAAGAAAGATTTTTAAAAGCAGGAGCTGAAAATTAAATATCTCTTGAAGCAAGACCCCAGGGTGCAAAAAAATCATTTTTGTTTGGTTCATTTATAAAAAGCGATTTTATAACACTATTTCATCGACGCTGGACTACTACGCTGTCTGATGCATACATTTTTAATACTTTTTTGCGTTGCATCATTTAAACTACTACAGCCGAAGTGGCGACGTCTGTGGGGTGGGATCAAAAAAAACGGGACGAACTTCTCCGTTCCACCTATTCGTTAGAAAGCGAGTCGACGCTCAGCTTTTCTAAATGTATTTATTCGGCAGTGTTAAACGCCGTTCATGCATGAATGAGGTCATTTTGTTAATAAGTGATAACAAGCAGCGCCCGTCTCATTTAGGTACAAAGCATTCGCGATGTTGTCGGCGGTTACTCTGGCTGCACTTCTAAGTGGTCAGACCTCTTGGACGCAAAAATAGAAGATCGAAGCGGTAAACAGTATATCGTATTGTCAACCCGATAGTTTCGAACACTTCAAAAAGATTCGTTTTGTTACAGAGAAAACTGTTTGCGGGATATTTACTTGTTGTTATAATATTTTAAGTAGATGAGTTACATTACAGTCGTAATTGGATTAGAGTTCCAAATGCTGCTTTCCAGCACCCGTTCCTATATGGTTCTCAGTTAATAACGATGCCGTTCGAACGGATTGGAATATTGACGATATTAAAGCATAGCATTCCCTGTTTATCATGCGTCCTTCTTTTTCCCACTACGTGCGCAATATGCAACACACTGAAGCTACAGGCAAACTATGTATAGCGAAGTGGCGATCCTTAAGATCAGTGCTTTGATCGGAATCTGAGAGAGGATTCGCCACGAATTGGTGTTCTTGCCTGGTTAAGCTGCACCGTTAGAGGCCTGCCTTTGTTCGTAAAAATCTAAAAATAGAAAAGAAACTCGGGGGTCCACCATGCTCAGGCAAGTTAACCTTATTTCGTCCGCTCTTAGCTTTTTTTTCTTTGGTAGCCTCGTGCCGTTAAAAGGACATCGCCGGCATGTCGTGCAACATTAACCCTATGAGAAACTACTTGAGTCAAACAGATATGCATGAGAGCAGGCAGCAGTGAACAGCGTAAAGTTTGTCTATGCGCATACAATGCTTCTGGAGTGCTACGATAGATGGTTTGTCGACCACTCGGTTCCACTACAGTGGCTTCCGTGTCTTGGTAGAGTGGTCATTGGTCTCATGAGATTTCTAATGAAACACTCAAGTTCACAAGATTAAAAAGTCTACGAGCAGATCGAAAACGCGAACTAAACACTGGCTTTGTGTTGACGCTGGCTGCAAAAGGCTCAAAAGTGCCACCTGCTGTGCACCGCGCCCCAAGTTTTAGTCCATCTGCTCTGCCTTTAGTTTCGTCTGACTATCAGTAGGGACTCTGGGATAACGTAACAACTCACATAGAAACTCCAGGCCACCAATGACTTCCATCTGCATCGCGACCGGTAGCGCTACTCTTTTATCCTTAAAAATACGTCTTTGTACGTTTTTATGATGTAAACGCTACTGACTCACGTTCCTATACTTGACACAACGGATCTATGATGGGCAAATAAAGGCCGTAAGCATCAGCATGTTTTCTTCTTCGTTAGCCCTCGAGTCGCGATCATGCTGTCGAGTGGTATGCAAATCAACACGGCTTGCATTCAGTATCATTGAGACGCTACATTGGAAATGTCGATAACTACGTGTAAATGGGAAAGCTAGACATGACGCACGACTGTTCACGCAGATGATAAGAAGATTGTTTTAGCAACATCAGCGTGCAAGAATAAGCACTTCGATGTGATATATTGTAAAATACAATACGTATGTCGTGTCGAACTGATTAGAATCGGTGAAAGGAGCACTAAATATAAAAAATGTCGACGAAAGCGCAATAAACCGACGTTGAGCCTTACTGGGTCCCCAGCAGATAATGTGCCGACAAATGGTAAGCTTAAATAATTCTCACTCTAATAATGCGCGTCGAAAAAAGAATACATGAACAGAAAAATGTACAGCTGGCAAGCATACGTTTATGAAATTCTGCCTATTATCAACCAAGTCGTGAGTCATGATTTGTTAGCCGTTAATGTAAAGCTTTCTAAGTTAAGGGGGGGGGGGGTGTCCCACACCGATCCTGAGCAATTCGAGGCTCTGTGTGTTTCAATCGTCCTCGACCTATCGCATAGTGACGTCGTATTGTCTTTCTGTAATACGACTCTCCTGCTCTTTCCTGTCTTCATAGTCGAGTGCAGCTTGTAAATTACGTATTTAAAATATTAGGTCTGAAAAACTACGGTGAGAACAAATAATCCACGTTCGCCGAGGCCAATGCTACCCCAGGGATAGCTACAAGCCAACAATTTAAAAGGCCGATATTTTTGGGCCTATTGGTCTAAGCATTCAGACCTCTATTAGATCAAGTCGAACGAATTGCCAAATTGCTCTTATTTCAACCCATAAAAGATCAATTTTAGAAGCTTTTCGTTATCACAGAGTTTTTTTTTAAAGCCTTTGTAACTAAAAAAAGACACCATCAATTCTACGAAGATCGTTTGATGTAAGCAAGTGCTCAAAACGAAGCAACTTGCAATGAGCAGCTATTATACTATGTGAGTATCTCGATGTCCTCTATAATATTCCCTTATAAAAAAATTGATTATTGATAACAATGACCTCTTCCGATTCTAACGATTGGGCCATTGGGTTTGCTTAGTGGTTTAGGAGAACCATTCTGTGAATCGGACATGTGAAAAGCCACTACTTGCTTAAAGCAAGAGCCACTTCCTTTTTGGGTCGAAGCGTTCAGTTGTACGGCAGTTTCCACTGAATTGGATCGCAATTTAATCATCATAATGCACAACACTGTGCGCGATAAAAAAATCTTTGTGTTAATAATTAATATGTAAAACACACAGCGCGTGAATCACAAAACCATGCACTCGATTACAGTAGAAAGCTGTAGAAAAAAAAAAACGCGGTGTGTTAAATATAACTGTAAATGCAGACTGGAAAAATAGTAACAAGGATTTGTATTTCTATGCCATGAAATGTACAAACATATATGCACGCTTTCTATGCATTGCTATATTATATAAAATATTATATATTTATACATTATTGCTATATTATATAGAATTTGATACAGCTGCGTTCTCTGTATACTCGATTACTAAGTCAGTGCAGTGTATGCAGCATATTTCCCAGGTTGTACCGATTGCACAGGTACTATAGTTCTTATTGGCCATATGGTATACTTGTTGGCCGTCTACTTACATACAACTATTTTAACTCCGGTTTGAAGCTGAAACAAATTAAATCATAGAACGTCCCACCCGAATCGCAATTAAACTACTCGTTGGTGGGGCGCCCCTATTTACCTAAAGTTGCATTATTTTAGGAGATAGGTAAAAGAACAGGCACCTGTTTGATCTGTTTGACCGTTTTACGGGGATCACGGTGTAGCGCAATGCGCCTCGATTGATAATAAAGCTGCGTCTGCTGTGATATTCTAATTTGTAACCAGGGTACACTTGCTTTAGCCTGGACGTCTTAATCCCCAAACAGCCCCAAGCTGACAATGAACATTTACCCGTACGTTGTGCCGAAGGGCAGTATCGAAACAGAGGGCATACTGGAAAAAATTAAAAGGGATTTGTCGTTTGTAGAGGCACACAGGTTGACAGCCGTTTGTGCATGCGTTATGCACATT